GAACAGGCAGTATTACTTTTAATATACATGTGTTATTGTGGTAATTTTATGCTTACGTTGTTTTGTTAATTTTATGTTATGCTGTTTACTTTGTTACTTGGAAACCTCCCTGAGTCCCCCTTATATAATAAATAATAAATTTCTTATTATAAATGTATAAGTTTTTATAAAACATATTGAAAACAAAGTTGAAACAAAATGTACACCAAAAATCACAATGCATATAACCATTTCTACATGTAGAGAACATGTTGTACTTTCCTGCTAAATAGATGAGGAAGCTCTCTGTGTCTATGTGTGTGTGTGTGTGTGAGTGTGTGAGTGAGGGAGGGAGGGAGGGAGGGAGAGGGGACAAACCTGGGAGGGGGAACCTTAATTCAGTGCAACTCTGCTGAGCCCATACAGATTCTGAGTCCTATACCAGTTTCATTTCTCCCATATTCAGATATTTAAAATTATTTCTATTCCAAATAATGTAAAGAAATTTCCACATTTCTTTACATTCTCATCCCTGTTTCCAAATAAGTAAATATATAACAGCACTCTTTAAATGCTAGATCTCCAGGCAGATTTCTCAGTGTTGTCGCAAAATTTTAAGGGAGTTGTACCATTTCACACTGCATCGGGTTGAGTGTTCTCTGCATATAGAAAACTAGAATGTCAGTGACCTAGCTATGCTGTATCAGATTTTTCATTTCCTTATGATGTAGTGGTTGAGTGTTAGACTACAACTTTGGAGTCTGTGGTTCAAGCCACTTTGAGTCTCCTTTGGGAGAGATAAAATGGAGTATAACAACAACAACAACAACAACAACAACAACAACTGTATTGTTGAAGGCTTTCATGGCTGGAATCACTCAGTTCTTGTGGGGTTTTTTCGGGCTATATGGCCATGTTCTAGAGGCATTTCTCCTGACGTTTTGCCTGCATCTATGGCAAGCATCCTCAGTGGGAATTCATCTTCTGGCTGATGTTGATATGGAGATGCAGCAGTTCCTTGTCTGTGTTTGCGAGTTCTTTGCGGATGGTGTGAATTCTGAGGATGCTTGCCATAGATGCAGGTGAAACGTCAGGAGAAATGCCTCTAGAACATGGCCATATAGCCCGAAAAAACCCACAAGAACTGAACTACTACTACTACTACAACAACAACAACAACAACAATTCCCTGCTCAACCATGGAAGCCCACTAAATTACCTTGGGAGAAGCATACTCTCAGCCCCCAAAAAGCCTCAAGGTTGTCATAAATTGGAAATGACTTTAAGTACACAACAACAACAAATAAGAGCCAGCATGATATAGTGGTTTGGGTGTTAGATTAGTACCCTGGAAACCAGGGTTTGAATCCCTACTTAGCCATGGAATCCCATTGGCTGACTTTGTTCAAGTACATACTCTCTCAGTCTCAATGGACAACCATGGATCTATCACTCTGAATAAGAATCACCAGTGTGGTGTAGTGGTTTTAATGTTGGATTAAGACTCCAGAGATTCGTGCTAATCACAGTCTCTTAGCATCAGAGCAAGGACACCCCTCTGGACAGCTCTTTCCATGAAAATCCTTTGTCTTAGGACCACCATATTTTAGAAATGACTTGAAGACACACAGCAACAGGAACATCCCATAGCCATTGTAAGAACTTTCACGGAAAGGACTCTATTAGATTAAAAATTTATCTAGCTCAGCATCTTGCTTCCAACAGCAACCAATGGGATCCATTTAGAAAGGTCTAACCTTTTTACTAATAAACCAGTTTTGTTGATATAGTGAATATTTTATACAGAGTACTGTTCAATCATCTGCAATACATATCTCCATCTCCATGTTTTTGGGAAGAAAACAGGAAGGTCATGAAGGCAATATTCAACCTCTACTTTCACCTTCTAAGCCATTTTTATTTAGATTAGGCATTTTCAACTTGTGGTCCCTCCATATATTCTTGTATTACATATCCCATTCTGTCTTACTACTGCTGAATATAGAATATATGCATAATATCATTATATTTCATGCCATAGACTCATGTCGAACTGCAGTTTGCAACAGTTCATTTAACATATTAATCATATGGTGGTTGGTCTGTCTTGAAAAACCTGTGATCATATTTCCTTCTGATCTTCTTCATCTCCCCCAACCTAAATAATCTCAAAGTTGTGAGTCCTTCATTGTAAACAAGAGTTTCCAACCATGGAATTAGCTGGACTATCTCTTCCTACAGTTCCAGGGTGTTCTTTGATGTGACCAGGGAGGCGCACCATATACCAGATCCAGTCATGGCATCTATTTATTCAAGTGCATTGTTATACTTGCTGTTTTATTTTCAGGTCTTCCTTTTCATAACCTGAAGCTTGCTTCTTTTATCTTTTATCATGAAATGGCACTGAGTCAACATTTTCACAGAGCTCGGTGAAATAACCCTGGGAAGAACTACCCTCTCTGAATGTGTTTATCCCTCTCTAAAGCCACCTAGACCAGTGGCTATTAGCACATCCAGGCTGTTCTGTTCTGGAGCAGACACTCCAGTTTCTCCATGGACATCACATTGTGTCATCTGAGTGAATTACCCTCTCAGACAAACAAGACAGGTTTCTTCCAGACTGGAAGTAGTGCTGGTGACATTGTTTGTGACACTTGCCTTCTCATGCCTCATTAGAGAGTACACCAAATCCTGGATTAAGCAAGATAACAGGAGGGTGTATCCTTGTGGCAATTAATGTATCCCAGGAAGCACCAACATACTTAAACATTGTCGGCCAATCTATCGGTGGACATCATACTATTTCTTTTCGAGTAGCAAGGCCACTTGGAATTCACTTAAAATTGACTGGTTTCAAAAGCTAAGCAGGGTCAGTTCTGGTTAGTATTTGGGTGGAGAATACAAATAAGATTATTGATAAGTAGATTGAAGAAAAAACTGTTCTGGAAGCCCAGAAGAGCCCCTGCCCATCAAAGTTAACATTATTGAGCTAGATGAATTTTGGACAAGTTGTTTTCCTTATCTCTGAAGATTCTTGAAAGGATTTAGTATAAGGTATTTTCCCATGTTCCCACATACAGTTTATTCCCACCATAACATTTTCATTTCACTACTCACAAAAGAAATCAGAGGATGAATTACTGGTCTAAGACAAACCCACTGTAGGCCTTTTCCAGGGACCTGTCCTTCCACAATAGCCCCTAAGTACCACTTTGCCATGGAAAGCACATCATGGTCAGTTTGTGGAGTGGTCATATTATTAAAGAACTCTCAGTCTTCAAAAAGTAGTTGTAGTTGTATGAATCAGAAATCTCCTCCCCACCCCCCACCCCCCACCACCATCCCAATTTGATAGGGGCAATCCTGATTAATCCTCTGTCATCCCACATTTTCACCTGCTTTTAAAATTTGCCAGTTTCTCTCTTTTTCTCCCATTTTTTCCCTTTGTCCTTCATTACTTCAGTTGCTGCAAATTAAGATTAAAGTCCCAAAATGGTGTGTATTCAACTAACTTAGCAGGGGCAAAGAGGAAATGAGTAGGGGTAAAGAAGTAGGTTCATGGAAAAGCAAACTGCTGCCCTCATTCCTAGCATGTGTGTTCTTCCTCGTTAAAAACTTGTCCCCATTCTGACATGACCTGGTTTTCATCTCTGAAATATTCCAAGCTTTGGAGAGCATAGGGAAGGGTTTTGAAAAATGTGGCTTGATGTGGAAACAAGAATAAGAGATAAAGCATCAGTTGAGATACCTTTTCCTCATGATAACTCTTCCAGGAGTGAATTTCCCTTCTCTCACTCCCTGTTGCCTCACCCCCATTTGTAACAATGAGTCATTTGTAAGTTAGATGTTTGTAACTTGGGGACTGCCTGTATGGTCATTCCTGGTTAGCACTTCTAGCAAAGACCACCAAGGAAATTCAGGTGCTTTGGAATGCAATCACAAATTACCTTCTTGCCTAAGAAAACCCTGCGAAATTAATGGAGTCACAAAGTAGCAGGCAAGTAGAAGGCACATAGACACATTACAGCGTAGGTCCCTCATATCTGCATTAATTTGAAGTTCCTGAACTTACTGTGGAAGGTTATATCTGACATTTCAGTGGCAGGATTCTGCTAATCTGGTGGGATGTTTCCTCTTCTCTTCTGCTCTATGTAGCCTCTTGCCTCAAGCCTAACAGCAGACACAAGCCTATTTTGTTGCAGAGTCCGACCAGATGCAAGTACCACCTCTAGTTTTGAGGTTCATGCATAAAAAGAAAAAGCTAGAGCAAGAAATGTGAAATCAAATAATCAACCAAATTGTGAGGCCCTGATAGTATAGATACTTATGCTTAGAAAGTCCAATGCCTAGTCCTTGGCATCTGTAGTTGAAAGACTCAGGTAGCAAATAATGGGAGATGGAGCCTTCAGCCATGTCTAGAACCATTACTAGTTGCTATCAGTCATTTAACCTAGATAAGTGTTTCCCAAATGCTGGTCTTCTGGCCCCAGAATACCTGGTTATTGGCCAAAGCAGTGAGAACTCTGGGAGCTGAAATCCAAAACATTTAGAATGCTACAGTTTGGGAATCACGGCATTAGATGAACAAGACATAAAGGACCTCATCGCATTGGGTTTGGCAAGTGTCTTAGAATGCCCCCCCCCCCCAGTGCAGCGATGGATGGGCACACTGCCCATTCCATGGCATTGCTCGGCTTCTGGCATAATAGATGTGTCATATGATGCTTCCTTTCCAACATGGGAGCCTGCCCATATTTTGCTGACTCCAATGGAACCAGCATGGATCCTTGCCACTTGGGCAACGCTTCTCATCTGTGAAGGGGGCATCATCGCCACAAGGGTGTGGAATGTGGGGTGATGGATTTGCCCTACTATCCGTCTGTTCCTTCGCCTGGCTCATGTGATAAGGTCATAACTCAGCTAGGAAACTTCCTATATTCCCATTGAGGCATGTGATACTGTGATTATCATCCTTTCTTTCATTTCTCATTTTCCACCTATCATTTCCTTTTATCCCCCAGCCATCTCTACACATGAACTTCGGAGTGTGTCCTCCAGATCGCTGCAATCAAGGGTGCTCCAAACTGTTTTTCAGAAAAGGGCAAAATCTCTTTCAGTATGAGCTGTGAAAAGACAAGTAGGTAATGGCAATTACTTTGGGGAATGGGAACTCTTTTGATGCCAAGACACATTAGAACTTTTTTATTGTTTTGTTGTGTTTAGTGCATTCACAGGCTTTTGGAGTTTTCATGCTGCAGTGATGCGTGTTTTGCTCTGCTCTTGCCCAATCTAGGAACCTCCAGACGTGTGGGTTACAGTCCCTATTACTGTTAGCAAGCTATCAATCATTTGGACTTTTCTTGGGTTTGTGTGTATCGGAGATAGTAAAATATTCATCTCATTTTCTGAATGGTGTGTGCTCTTGACACCCCTTTGGAATCCTTAGAATGCTAAGTTCTGTGTCCAATCTAAGCTGCAGTCCTTGCACAAACCTCTCACATTTAGTTTTCGAGATGTTTTGCACTTTAGCTTCTATTATCCCTCACCATGAGACATGCTAACTGGGGCTTTTGGGAATCAAAATCCAAAACATTTGGAAGACTGACTGTTGAGACCCACTGTTGCAGAAAATCCCTCACCACTGGTTTGTACTGACTAGCAATGTCTGGAGAGTTATAGATTGACCACCTCCTCATAGGCATGAAGTGCAGTATGGCTCTCATAACTGCAGGGGATACGTTCCTAGAGTTTGCATTGATATGTGAAATCAGTAATAATAGTGACCCATTTTAATTTCAATGGGATAAAGAGAAGAGGTACCGCTAAGAGTTTGTATGGAAGGCCCTAAGAGAATAAGTGAAACTGTGGCTAAATAAATACACTGAAATTGATTTCATGAATATGTGGTCATACTGTATGTATACCCACAAACAAGGAATGGTATGCCCTTCACCTTTGTAGGATGAAAGCCAATATTATTAAGGTAATAATGTTGAAGGAATGCAGAGATAAACAAAATATGCATTGCCATGAGATTAATTCATCAAACACTGGATGTCACCATTGTTCTACATATACACCACTGATATTGAGTATTGGGGGCTTCTTTTTCAGTTCAAGGCACCCTCTTCTTTCTTGCTTGCAGCCAAGAAAGTATTGATCCTGAATCTCTGTACATTTGGGAATCTAATATTTCTGTTCTTCTATAAGCAGACTTCATTTCTCAGTTGTTAGACTAGGTCACGCAAGGTGAGCTGCATTATGCGACTTTAAATTTATTTTGTGTATTGAAATCAGCAGTATCAATGCAATCCAACAAATCACAGGAAAAATACTGACAGGGGTGATGGTTTGTTTTTTTCCGTTGGTACTTTGCTGTGTTGCCATTTTATATGATTTGGTTACAGCAAGACACATGATTGGCAAGATCCCATAAACTCAGGTGTATCATCATATACTATCATGAAGTTGATCAGGCTATAACCTATATACAGTATGAACCCCTTTATCTGCGGGGATACATTCCCAGACTTCACATGCGTGCACAGAACCATGGATATTAGCATAGCAAACCCCATTGAAATGAAGGATTTTCAACCCAGGAGTTGTTCAGGAGAACCTAGAAAATGCCGAGAGAGGCCATATCTGTCAGGTGGATAAATAATACCTGCGAGTATCTATCCTATGATGCCTGAAAACTTAACACTGTTACCCATTTCTAACTTACATGTAGAAAATACTATGACTGTGAAATGGTATTGTGAAGTATTTGACATCCTTGTAAATATAAACGTTTGATAGCATTCGTTCCTAACGTTTGTTTTAAGCACAAGGGTGTGATTGTTTCATGTAATGTTTTTTCTGATTCATACGGATGCTGTTTCCTAACGTGTGCTTATTGAATGTACACAATGCAGTGACTGCCAAAGGATGGAAAGTGATAAAAGTGTTTTTTTTTTTCTGATGGTGGTTTGAAGAAGAGTTTGTTATTCAAGATGTGTAAACACACCCCACTTTCACCTTTGGTAAACAGTGCTTGCATTTGTGCTTACAATTATATGATTCCATGATAATGTTACAAGAGATAGTGAGATAACAGCTGAAGTTACATATCAACAAGGTAATGGTGTCCTACTTGAAAGATTACTTTTGGAGACAACTCCCAGAATCCACAATATAATAATATAATAACACTTTTTTATATTCTGCTCTATCTCTCCAAGGGGACCCAGAGTGGTTTTCAACATACACAGATAGGCAAACATTCAGTGCCTTTAATACAGTGGAATAACAATGGCATACAAATACACAGAGCAAAGCTAAAAGTTTCCCCTTTCATCTCTAGTTTTCTGAAGGAAATGCTCAACTCTGGCCGTGGGGAGGTATTCTTGTTTCATTTCCAAGCTGAGGAGCCTGTTGTCTGTAGACACGTCCTGTTTTGTTGGCATGGTTGCATGGCCGCCTTTATTACCTTCCTGCTGAAGCTGTACCTATTGATCTACTCACATTTACATGTTTTCGAACTGCTAGGTTGGCAGGAGCTAGGAATAACACTGGGAGCTCACCCCAGCCTTTAGGTCAGCAGATTAAACAGTTCGACGGTTTAACCCATTGTCCTTCTGTGGCCCTACAAGTCAGCTACTATGCAACATTATCACAGTGCAAGACTGAATGCCATATTTTTCATTACAATGGTCCTTTTATTACAAAAAGAAAAGGAAATGCTTCGCAGAAGGCAAAAAATAATACAGATTTGAATTAAAATTTGCAAATTTGATTTTAGGTGTGTAAAGATGTAAATTTAAAAACGTTGATCACAATTTAACTAGAAATATAATGCACCTCAAAAGAGCAGGACAACTGTACTAATACGCTATATATTCTTTTGAAATTATTTATCTTCATCATAATTTGCTAATAGTTTTTATAAATCTGCACAAGTTAAATCCATTTATTAGAGTTTGTGTTTTTGTCATGTCTATACATCTACTTATATTCTTTTGAACTCAGAGCGTCTTCCAACCCGGATAGTGACTACCACCTTAGTGATAAAGCAACACACTGTGAGGAAGGACAGGGGAACTGAGGGAAATTATCTCCAAAATGGACCCCCTGTATCACAGATTACTGAAGAAACTGAATATATAAAACAGGTAATATTTCCCATGAACATATATGGAGATGCCTTTGATGGAGCATAAATAAGAAATAACAGCCCATCTAGTCTATTGTGGACTTTGGTGACTATAGGAAATTGCCCAAGATCTCAAGCAAAAATGTCTATCCAAGCCCATCACTCAAACCACTGCACCACTCTGGCTCTCAATGAGATGTTATGTATTGATGGGTATTTACATGGATTAATTGAAGAATTAGTACATAATGTGCTTCTAGGATATGCATTTGGAACCTGTGGCTCTAACATGTTTTGGACATCATCTCCCATATAATCCATGTTGGCTGGGGCTTCTGGAAGTTGATGTCTGAGGTTGGTGGAGCAACACAGGTTCCCATTCCACACTTTAAGATCTAAATGTATTATCAATAAAATCAATAAATATTGATCATCTGGAGAGGCCCTGCTAGCGCTCCCGCCTCCATCACAAGCACGATTGGTGGGGACAAGGGACAGGGCCTTCTTGGTGGTGGCCCCTTGACTCTGGAACTCACTCCCCAGGGACATCAAACATACCCCAACGCTGGCAGTCTTTAGGAGGAGCCTGAAAACATGGTTGTTCCAGTGTGCCTTCCAAGAATAAGGAAAACTCTTAGCAATATGTCCTCAAATGCACTTTAATATTGATTGAGGGTTGTCTGCGCATCCTCATCTTTCTCTGAAAACCCTATTTTAATTTGTCTTACCTTGTTCATGCCCAGCACTTTTTGATGTTAAATTTGAATTATTACATTTGGCCCAGCCATAGGTTTTTTAAATGCTGTATGTCGCGATATGTTATTGTTATTACTTATTGTGTATTTTCTGTTTTGAGTTTTTTTAACTGTTTTGTATTGATTACTATTATTGCTTTTGTTTATTGTACATGTTGTGGGCTTGGCCTCATGTAAGCCCCACCAAGTTCCTTGGGGAGATGGTAGCGGGGTACAAATAAAGTTTTATTTATTTATTATTATTATTATTATTATTATTATTATTATTATTATTATTAATTCTGTTTAATTGAACCACTATCTTGAGAATATCCTGTATATACTCATCTATGTCAAAACATATACTGGATATATTGAAATTGTACTTATATGTGTGTGTGCATATATGTATATGTTTAGATAATAGCCAGATTTAATATGATGCAATATCAGACTTAGAGAAATGTAAATCTGAACTGTGTTTTTATTTGGCTCAAATTTCCAAACGAATACCAGGATTGTGATTGAATTTGCTTTCCCTCTGTAGATTAGATCCACTCTTGCAAAAGTTCAGCCTCTCCTGTGTAAAAATGAATCTCGACATGGAGTTGCAAATCACAAGCAGGATTCAAAGGTATGGGTGGATTTTCTTTCTGGAAATATGCATCATATTATTATTTACAGTATATGTAAAGACAGCCAGTTGTGTTGAAGTTTGGATCTTGCTTGTTAACATCCATTTCTCAACCACCACTATAACACCTTGTTTTAGCCAGACCCTGGTCTCTTTATCTCTTTTAGTTTTCTGAAAATAGTTCCTTTAATTCAAACACTGACTTCCCCCTTGTGAAACTGGCACAACAGTCAAGACTCACTCTTTGTCTGGTAAAGGTACAGAATCAGTGTACACATGAATAGGAAGTTTTGCAGGCCTCTTTGAACCCAGCAAGAGTTGAATGTTCAAAAAGAACATTAAGGAATAATGCTTGGCTTTTCGCTGCGTAATACCCACCATTTACAAACCTAGGAAGAATGCATTTGCTGCCTGATGCAGTGTTTCTAGTCCTAAACTAATCTTTTAGGCAGGGAATGTGGTCCTGGGGGAAATCAAAAGCTGTTATTTATCACGGGTGCCATGCAAATGCTTTCAAATATGAAGCCCTCAGGAGCTGGGCAAATAGATCAAGATGCTTTATTGTCATATGGCCAAGAGAGGAAAAATAAGTCTGGCATAACATCTTAAAATGTTCTTGGGTTCAGTTCAACATGGGGAGGAGGAGAAGGCAGGCACACTCAGCTTGCAAGGGTTATCCAAGTCAACCCAGTGTCACCAGTTTCCCAGGACTTGGTTGTTAAACTGCCACCATGTTAGGATTTTAAAAAGTGGTCTTCAATAAGTGATCAGAATTTTGGTCCATCTAGGTCAGGTGGGGGATTTATTTTCTTCTAAGGACTCCATTGCCTCAGGAGCAATTTTTCTGGGGAGACACGTGTTACATTTTTCAGCAAAGCCAAAACCGGAGGTGGTTGAGATCAGCTCTCTATCTACCTGGTCTTTTTCACTTTCTTTCTTAGGGTGTGCCATAGCAATTAACACCAGTTTAATTGCTATGGCGCAATACTATGGAATCATGGGAGTTACAGTTTTACAAAGTCTTTAGCCTTCTCTGCCCAAGAGTGCTGGTGCCTCAAGTCCCAGGATTCCATAACATTGAACCATGACAGTCAAAGTGGTGTCAAATTGCATTAATTACACAGTGGCGCCAAACAGAGACTATTCACCTCATCTTCTCAAATGCAAATAATACTCATGCATTTACGTCTTCATTTCTCTAGTCCCCCACCCCCAATCCCTCACCTTTCTTATATATGCTTGGGCATGTATACTCAGTATCTCAGTTGTAATTGATACAATGATGCAGTTGCATTGAGATCCCATTTAAATTTACCAATTTCATCAGCACAACCTCTGTGCTTATGTGACTCTGTAACCTGTAAGAACGCAAAGATGAGAACCAAATCCCAGTTGAAATTTTACATGTTGGTTGGTTTTAGCCACATTTCGAAGAACCTGGATTGGAACCTGATGAAAAGTCCCTGTCCTTCAGCTACAAGGAGACATTGGACAAGACGAAAAAAACAGAAGAAGAACTTTCACGGGTGAACAAAGAAAACGAACTGCTAAAAATCAAGGTGTGTCCATATTTCTGCAATGTCAAATGAGTACTTTGGTGTAGTTAGTGGAACATAAAAACCACTTGTATTTTAATTTATACATACATAATTAAATCCACTCCCTGTTCCTCTTGAAACTAATCTAAAAAGTAGAACTTGAAAGTAATGCACTAAAAGCCATTTATTACTTTTTAGTTTGGGAGGAGTAGATAATACTTTTAATACATTGTTACTCTAATACATTGTAATGCACAACAACATGCCTACAGCAAAACTACCCAGTGATTGGTAGCATTATTTCCAGTTTTTGTGTGTGTAAAGAGTACTCATTCATTCCATAACATTGATCTTAATTCCTATCATTAGTCCCAGATAGAACAGAGCCACTGAATTAGTTGGATATACATATGCATTGACTCACTGCTCAACAGTTGATTTAATGGGTTTAGTGTAAATGGAACTAATGCATAAAGTCCCAGCCATTGTTGTACCTGGGATACAACAGTTGAGACTTTTTTGGCTATTCATCTTTTGTTCCCAACTTTGAGAATACATTAATTAAAAGCAACACATTGCTAATCTCTTTAAAATGTGTGACTCATAAAATAAAGTGTTAACTTTTTTAAAAAAATGCTGAAGTGCTATTATTTAAAAATAACTTCCTAAATTCTGCCAAGAACATACAGATGGACTTAAGTTTTCAGCTGAGTTACGGTGGTGTAGCATGTTCAAATGTTAATCTGCATCAAAAGGCTCCTTGCCAGCATGGCATAGTGGACTGAGTTATAGAATAGGGTTTAAATTCCCATTCAACAATAGAAACCTACAGAGTGACCTTGGAAAAGTCACAAGCTCCGCCTCAAAGAAAGGCAACGACAACCTCCCCTCTGAATAAATATTGCCAAGAAAACTCAACATAGGGACTCCATAAATAGGAGTCAACCTGAAATATGGAACATACATAACAACAATTATTTTCAAAATAGTCGTTAGGAAGAAGAGTTGCAGTTACCATTGCTCTTGTGTAACACGAAAGGCAGGATATAACTAAAATACTGATCTTCTGCTTCCTCTATATATCTGGTGCATACTGGACTATCTTACTTTTCTCCTCTTCTAAAGTAATACAGTCAGGAAATATATTAAGAATTCTTTGATTAAAGCAGGGTTAACTCTTTGATTAAAGCAGGTTATACTCTTAAGAATGGAAGTCATTAATTAAAGAACACAAGCTCTAGAAAAGTGATTCCCAACCCTTTTTTGGGACCACTCTCCACTTGACCAGGGACCACTTTGACCAGGGACCACTCTCCAACATTAGTACCGAAAGAGTTTTTGGTCAACTTTAGATTTGGTTTTGTTATTTGGGGTGCTGATTCAGAAAATTTTTTGAATCAGCACCCCAAATGACCCCAGGAATAGGCCAAAAAACAAAGACACCAAGGCTCCTCCGCTTCTAGGTGCCTAGTGTTTACACCTTATTTTATTTTTCTGGTTATTCAATATTTAATATTTATTTTACTTAAGTGATATTTGTCTTTACTGTTCTAATGTAGCACAAATCCTATGTAAAATCATACTACGTATTTTTGACATTAATATTGAAGTCTGAAATATATATATAAAGTCTTTACTCGGGGGGAGAGAGGAGGAGGAGAAGCAGCAGTTGGGAGTCTTGTCATGCCTTTCATGTGTAGCCAGCCTCTCCCCTCCTGCCAGCCCAGTCCCCTTGGCACTATAAGAGGGTTTCACAAGACTGGTTGCTCTTGTTGCAATGATGTAGTAACAGTGAGGCCACAAACCATATTTTAGTTCTTGGGGACCACTGGTGGTCCACAGACCACAGGTTGGGAACCACTGCTCTAGAACAGTAGTTCCCAAACTTTGATTCTTCAGATCCTTTAGATGTCTCAGTCTTGCTGGGACTTCTGTAAGTTGAAGTCCAAAACATCTAGAAGACCCAAGATTGGGAACCACTGGTCTAGGCTAGGGACCTATTTATTATTTATTTATTTCTGGTACTTTTACCCCGCCCTTCTCAACCCCTGGAGGGGGACTCAGGGCGGCTTACAAAAAAAGGCAGAATTCGATGCCTATACAAAATTACACATAATATACAAAAATATACTAAAGAACAAATATACAAAAATGTAATTAAAACGATTATCCCAATTAAAACATCAACAACCGTACCGGTTATATAAGACATTATATAAAACATCATATAAAAGTCATTCTTATAATCAGCGTTTCGTTTCCAGAGTTCCACATGTCCAATCCGTTAGTCATTTCCTAGCCATCAATGAAGTTCTTTCTTTATTTGCCCACTTGTCCAAATGCCTGGTCCCAGATCCATGTTTTTAGTTTTTTTCCTGAAAGAAAGGAGCGAAGTTGCAGATCTGATTTCCCCGGGGAGTGAATTCCACAGGCGGGGGGCCACCACCGAGAAGGCCCTGCTCCTCGTCCCCGCCAATCTCACCTGTGATAGAGGCGGGGTCGAGAGCAGGACCTCCCCAGAAGATCTTAGGCTCCGGGGTGGGACGTAGAGTGAGATCCGTTCGGACAGATACACTGGGCCGGAACCGTATAGGGTTTTATAGGTCAAAACCAGCACCTTGAATTCTTTGTGTGTATGTGTAGTGCAAACAGTAGTCAACCCCTACTCTAATAGATCTTTTCCTTTTCCTTTTTTCCTTCCTTCCTTCCTTCCTTCCTTCCTTCCTTCTTCCCATCCTCTCCCTCCCTCCTCCCTCCCTCCCTCCCTTCCTTCCTCCTTACCTACCTACAATATATCAATTCTACATATCTATATGCTTGTTTTAAATGGCTGCCACTTCCCACTCTGCTTGGAAAAAAATTAAGTAAAAACAAACCACATGATTCTTTTCCAGCTGGAAGCTTCAAGGGCAGCTGGTGCAGAATCTGTGAAATATGGAGCCCAGCAACTCCATGAAGATTACAAAAAGCGCTCTGAAGACCTCAAGAAAAGGCAAGAAGGAACCATACACATAATGAAGGTATATGGTTCTGAATCTCTGTGTTTTAACTCTCTCTACTTGAGGAGGAACATTTGCAGATATGATTTCTCCCCAGTATATTGAAATGGTGTAGTCCATACTTTGGCATTCTCTCATCCCATTTCTTTGCTTGTGTATGTCAACAGTGGAGCTGACTTGGGGTTGAGCCAAAGTGGAATTAGCCAAAACTACAAAGGATTAAGGATACTATCACACAGAAGTGGAAACCATTAGCGAAGCAGATCATATGATACCTGTTTCTGGTTTGCCACCTCCCTGCAGTGAAGCTGATCCTGGCTATTGCTGGGCAAAGCCTCGCTGAACCTTTTAATTAAAAGTAAAAAATGATTTTTTTAAATGAAGAAGAAAAAAACAAAACAAAAGAGAGAAGCAATGCAGTTGCGGAGTTGCACTGCTTACTCCAAAGTACAGCTTTGCACAGTTGATTTATCTCAATTGCTCAATGCTAGTGGCTGTGTGATTCCACCTGTCACTAAGTCAATAAGTTGCTGCAATCCTACATCACAGTAATGTCCTAAAGTGGCCAATAAGTATTAACCATGGTAGCTATTTGAGGGTCCACAGGCTATTGAATATAGACTTACTGGGAGATGTGAGAGAGGAAGAGATTATTGCACTCAGTCCTTGCTTGTAAGCTACAAGCATGGACTGAGCCACTACAGACTCAGTCTCTACAGAAAGCATGTTACAGTGGACTACTGGGCTTTTGGTCAGACCTGTGATCCTTTTTATGTTCTTTGAGAATAAATTTACTGTGTGGGTTTAGGCTGTGTGCAGTTGCTACTTATCCCATACATATTTGCCATGAGGAAATCATCTTCAAGACATGTTCTTGAAGGATAAGCAACTTTGCTTCTGTACTAAGTTTAGTTTCCTCTCCTTAAATCACAGGCCCGCAAGCTGGAGCAAGAACAAAAATTAAAGCAAAGCACAGACAATCTTAGCCAGTTGAATGTTCAGTTACAAGAAAAGCAAAGCCAGATTGAAGAACTGGAGAAACGAATACAAAGGATGGAAGAGGTACAGCTGGAGGTTCTGTTCTGTCAGAAGCGGGGAAAATGAAGCATGTGTTGTCTGCTGAAAAGTCCTAATGAGAAGGCAGAGAAATCTGATTGAATCAGAGATCTCGTAATTAATGATGTTAGAACTGGGTACTAGCGCTGTGAAAATTCCATCCCTTCCCTCCAGTCTTTCCAAATAACAATTTGCAGGATAAATTGGGCAAACTAAGAGACATCACAGTTAATTCTTATGATGATGTTACAAAATGCCTAAGTCATTTATTTCCTTGTTGTGGAGACTAGATGGGCTTTGTAAAGTAGTTTTGTAGATATGTGTCATTTTGTGCATTTCTTTTATGGCAGAATGCTTAGAGCCAAGTCTGGAAAAATTACTTTTTGATGAAATTTCCCAAAGGAAAGTAGTCACCTAAAAAGGGATTTTTTTAAAAAAAATCTGCTTATCAGAACTACATAGAAAGTCTTCAGGATCAGGTCTTTCCTTCTCATGAGGCTGTTGCATCCCCCCCACACACACACTTAAATATGTGAGGGGTGTGTGACTCGGGCTCTTAACTCAGCAGTCCAGAATAGCATTGCATATTTTGATCTGACAGTAGATCTCCAAGGCAGAGGTCATTCTTAGTCTAGCTACCTGAAAAACATATAACTAGAAATGCCGGGCATTGAAACCTAGTGACTTCTAGGGGAAAGTATATGCTAGCCCACCCCTAACCAGTGAAATCTGAATTTTAAAGTGTAACATAGTTTTACTGAGGGAGAACTAGACTGATGTTGTGCATTGAACTAGAACTTTGAGACCTCAGATCAAATTTTCACTTAGCCATTAAAACCTACTGAGTGGGTAAATCACACTCTCTCAGCTTCAGAGGAAGGCAAACTCCTCAGAACAATTTTTTCCGAGAAAACCTCATGCCTTGTAATTGCCATAAGTCAGAAAGGAAAGGACACAACAACAGTGTAGTCTTATGTATTGTCGAAGGCTTTCATGGCCGGAATCACTGGGTTGTTGTAGGTTTTTTGGGCTATATGGCCATGGTCTAGAGGCATTCTCTCCTGACGTTTTGCCTGCATCTATGGCAAGCATCCTTAGAGGTAGTGAGGTCACCTACAACCGCAAGGCCAGGTGGGGGGGGGCTGCCAGAGCTCCTGCCCCCCTCCCTGCCCCCCTCCCTGCCCCCCTCCCCCCCTTGGGCCTCTTCCCCAAACCCCCTGCGGGCAACGCGCCTCCTCGCCGCTTCGGCCCGTAGCAACCGCCCCGCATGGACCCCCTCCCTAGCAACGACGCCGGCTGAGTGACGTCGTGCAGAGCTTGTCGGGGAAAAGGGAAGGCGAAGGCTGGAGGGAAAGGGCTCTGCGCTGTTTACAGAGAAGCGGCGAGGAGGCGCGTTGCCCGCAGGGGTTTCCGCCCGCTCTCTCCCTCCGAGGCCAGTCTGTGGGCTCCGCATCCTTCCTCGCCATCTGCACAGCTACGTTACGCTCGTCTCTCCCCCTTTGCTGCCTGTCCTCCATGAAAAAGAGCCAAACAAACCTCGTTGGGCCAAGGTAAGCCTTTGGGGCGAATGCCGAGCCTCAAGGAATTGTGGGAGTTGAAGTCGACCACACCTGGAGGGCCAAAGGTTCCCGACCCCTGCTCTAGACCATGGCCATATAACCCGAAAAAACCTACAACAGCCCAGTGTAGTCTTACTTTGTAGGTGCTCTGTCTAAATAACAGGATGGACTGGCCCTGAACAACGGGTGACTAAACTAAATTCAACACCCCTTTCTGTCCATGTTATGAAAACTTTACAACTGGCACCCCTTTTTTCCCTATGCATAACACCCCTCTGTTTTCTTCCTTTGAAGATCTTGATTGTGGGTTGGGAAACTGGACAAAGGAAAACATGTTGGATCCATGGCAAATTGGACCCTCAGGAAGCATGTGGCCCTTAGCCCCCAGATTCCTATTCACCAAATCCCCTTCCCAAAAATTGCTTTTCCAGACAATATTTCAATTTTAAAAATCAATTTCCAGACAATATTTCAATTTTTAAAAAAATCAAAATCCACTCAAACTATGATAAAACATGGTGGTTGGGATCATGCTGCCCTTCAACTATATCCCCAGTTTTTCCTTATCCTCTGAAATGCAGAAATTTAAGCCTCTTTGGCTGCTCTCTAGAACCAGGAGATGCAGTATAGTATAATTATTTGTATTGGGGTAGAACAGTGGTTCTCAACCTGTGGTTCCCCAGGTGTTTTGGCCTACAACTTCTAGAAATCTCAGCCATTGTATCAGCTGTTATGATTTCTGGGAGTTGAAGGCCAAAACATCTGGGGACCCACAGGTTGAGAAACACTGGACTAGAAGTATATCTACATGGTCAAATTATTGCAGTTCGACACCACTTTAAATGCTATGGCTCAATGACATGAAATCATTGAAGCTGTAGTTTGGTGAAACACCAACACTCTTTGGCAGAGATGGCAAAAGACCTTCCCAAACTCACATGACTCCATAATGTTGAGCCTTGGCAGCTAAAGTATCAAACTGCATTACTTCCAAAGTGTAGATGCAGTCTAGGACTCTGGAAGCCCAGGTTCAAATCCCCACTCGACCATGAAGCCCACTGGGTGAACTTGGGCAAGTCACACTCTCTCAGTCTCAGGAAGGCAATGGCAAAGCTCTTCTGAACAAACCTTGCCAGGAAAACTCAGAGATGGGATCACCATAGGTCGGAAACAACCTGAATTAAAACAATAACAACAACCTAGAACCAGAAGTGAAGCAACATCACTCCCTTTCACACCATGCATGGCCACTGAGGGAGGGATTGCCTCCACCTTCTTTCAGATTGCTTTCCTAGAAGTGTGCTTTCTTTGGAGATGACCATGCTGGCTTTTAAGACACCCTTAACAAACCTATGAATTATTGCTGCATATTATGTGGGTAGTATTATTGGTTTTATGTCACCCAGTGTGGGTTGGAAATACAGGTGCTGGCTGTTTATCCGATGAACCTTTTCAAACCACCTTCCTGTTATAGACTTTTAGTTACAGCTAAATGAGACAGTTTCCCCATTGGAAATGGAAAATCACAGATATTTGCAGGTTCTTTGCTTGTGGGTGGACTTTCACACGGCACTCTGGATGGGTGTGTGCATAGCATGAAATTGATAATGCCTTGTGGGAGCTGAAAATGAAAGTCTGTTTTCTAATGTGGGTGTAAACGGATCCCGTTTGCATTTTTTTTCAATATCCATATTGATTTGGTAAATAGTAGAAGAGAGACCGTTTATGACAGCTTTGGAACAATTTGCTTACAGACGCCTACAACTTTCATTCTTCTCTGTTATTGCTTAAGCATATTGGCAAATGCTTTTGCAAAACCTTTCCAAGCATTCTCGGCTGATTCACCGGCTCTTGCAGTGAACAAACTCCACTTCCTCTGTAGTAAATAGTGATTAGCAATGAGACGTCTTTGCAATGAATGCATTACTTAAAATATAAGCATCACCATCTGTTCTACTATTCAGTTGGAAGCCAAAGGGATCACTTTTAATTAATAGAGCCTCGGTTAAGGCATCAGATTGCATTTTATTATTTTACTCAGCTCTGAATTGTTTTAATAATGTGAATAGTTTTTGTATGTTTTAAATTACATTGTTTTAAATAGTGGGAAACTGGGTAGAAATAAATATATTACTAATAATGATAAAATCATCATCATCTTCAGACTGAGAATCCTTTGAAATTTGGAATATCCCTCAAATAGCAATATCCAGAAAAAATATAGTCCAGTTATAGTAATCTATCTCCTCATTTTATATACTGCTTTTCTCCTGGCCTCACATTAAATGACATTTCTGCCACAAGTAATCAACAGCCTAAGTAAAAAGGTCTTACCTGAAATGGAACTATAAAAGGCTCTCTATTTCTGTGTGATGTAGGACTTCAGGACTTCCATGTAATTGGAAAAACACCAAATATCACTCTGACCAAAAGGTCATGAGTTCGAAGCCAGCCCGGGTTGGAGTGGGTTTCCAACCAATTATGTGTAGCCTGTTGTCGACCTTTGCAACCCGAAAGACAGTTGCATCTGTCAAGTAGGAAAATTAGGTACCACCTTAAAGTGTGGGGAGGCTAAATTAACTAATTTATGAGGCCATAAAAAAGACTCCAGCAAAGCTCCAGCATGCGGGGAATGCGGAAGTACTTCATCAGTGTCGCAGATGGACGATGAAAGCGACAGCTCCCCTGGCGGCCAGAAAAAAGTTAAATAGCCTCTGTCTATGTCTGTATATGTTGTATGTCAAAATTGGCATTGAATGTTTGCCATATATGTGTACACTGTAATCCGCCCTGAGTCCCCTGCGGGGTGAGAAGGGCGGAATATAAAAGCTGTAAATAAATAATAAATAATAAATAATCTACTGCTCCCCCCCCCCCCGAGAAAACACTTCTCAAACAGTGCTCTCTCTAGAAATATCTAGGTCCTCCAGTTTAATTCTATGGTAAATTTCCAGAGGACTTAGAGATTCATAGAGAGAACATATTGATCAAATCCACAAATAATCTGGGTTATAATCCCCAAAATGTAACTTTTCTGAGCTCTGTGCACTCAGCCCTAGATAGGTCTTCTGAAATAATGCTGATCTCTTTGAGTAAGTGCAGGAATTGATGCTTTTGTTCGATGTTTGTTGTTTTATCTTATGTCTGATATAACAGGTTGCATTTTTTATTTTCTTTTATTTGTTAAGACATAATTTGTTTTTATATGTTGGATTATCATTTTACGTTATTATGAGTGTGTAATGTTGTTGTGTTTGGGATTGGATGTTTGCCTTTTATGTTGGGAATCTGCCCTGAGTACTTCCGGGGAGATAGAGCAGACTAGAATCATAGAATCAAAGAGTTGGAAGAGACCTCATGGGTCATCCAGTCCAACCCCCTGCCAAGAAGCAGGAATATTGCATTCAAATCACCCCTGACAGATGGCCATCCAGCCTCTGTTTAAAAGCTTCCAAAGAAGGAGCCTCCACCACACTCCGGGGCAGAGAGTTCCACTGCTAACGGCTCTCACAGTCAGGAAGTTCTTCCTCATGTTCAGATGGAATCTCCTCTCTTGTAGTTTGAAGCCATTGTTCCGCGTCCTAGTCTCCAGGGAAGCAGAAAACAAGCTTGCTCCCTCCTCCCTGTGGCTTCCTCTCACATATTTATACATGGCTATCATATCTCCTCTCAGCCTTCTCTTCTTCAGGCTAAACATGGCCAGCTCCTTAAGCCGCTCCTCATAGGGCTTGTTCTCCAGACCCTTGATCATTTTAGTCACCCTCCTCTGGACACATTCCAGCTTGTCAATATCTCTCTTGACATATTGACTATAAAGATTGTTGTTGTTGTTGTTATTGTTATTATTGTTGTTGTTGTAGCACAATAATATGACCACACCGAGATCTTTATAGAAATATAAAAGTAAATCAAAGAGAGGCTTGTCAATAATTAAAACTTTCCAAAAAAGGTTTTTTACCTTTCCTTTTTTGATACCAGATATATGTGTAGAATTTGTGACTTTTTCATTTCATAGGAGAAGAAACAGTTAAATGAAAAGAAAGGAGTTTTGAAAGAGAAGCTGCACCAGATGATGTCAAATGCTGAAAATACTAAAAGGTTTGCAAAATGTTCAATTAAGTTGTTATTATTCAGTACAATTTTGTGGGTCTTTTGTCAGTTTTCAAGCAGAAAAAAATAGTCCAGTCGGGCAGAATATGTGATATTTTATGAAATAAATTCAGAGTTTTCCATGTCTACAGTAGATTAAAATTTCAATAACTTGTGATCACCAACTTATCCCACTGAAACCAGTGAGACAAGTTGGTAACCATAAATAATTGAAATCCTTATCTATGTTTTAATCACAGCTTAGTAATATTTGTTGTTGTTGTGGTTGTGGTTGTTGTTACTAATGCTATTACTAGACTATCTCAGCCAATCTGGACAGGCAAATTATACTCTAAAGGAAATATTAAAATGTGTCATGCTTATAGATGAGTATTGATACCTGATCTAATTTTTATTAGGGCATGTTATTTCCTCCCATCCTACTGTGTGTTAACTATGCAGCAGTTTTGCAATATAACTCATGACTTTCTAGGACAGTGGTTCTTAACCTTCCTAATGCCATGACCCCTTAATATACGCTTCCTCATATTATGGTGACCCCCAACCATAAAATTATTTTCATTGCTACTTCATAACTGTCATTTTCTTGCTGTTATGAATAGTAATGCAAATATGGTTTTGCATTTTATGTAATTTATTTTTTGATTATCTGTTGTGTTCTTTGTGTTTATATTGTGTTTACTGTATTGATGGCCGTGGCCTTATGTAAACTGCCCCAAGTCTACTTGGGGGGATGGAAGCGGGGTATACATAAAGTTTATTATTATTATTATTATTATTATTATTATTATTAATTATCTGATATGCAGGATGTATTTTCATACACTGGACCAAATTTGGCACAAATACCCAATACACCCAAATTTGAATACTGGTGGGATTGGGGGAGGGTATTGATTTTGTCCTGTGGGAGTTGTAGTTGCTGGGATTTATAGTTCACCTACAATCAAAGAGCATTCTGAACTCCACCAATGATGGAATTGAACCAAACTTGGCACACAGAACTCCCATGGCCAACAGAAAATACTGGAAGGGTTTGGTGGCATTGACCTTGAGTTTTGGAGTTGTAGTTCACCTACATCCAGAGAGCACTGTGGACTCAAGCAATGATGGATCTGGACCAAACTTGGCACAAATTCTCAATATGGCCAAATGTGGGGTTTGTGGAAAATAGACCTTGACATTTGGGAGTTGTAGTTGCTGGGATTTATAGTTCATCTACAAACAAAGAGCATTCTGAACCCTACCAACAATTGAATTGGGCCAAACTTCCCACACAGAACCTCCATGACCAACAGAAAATACTGTGTTTTCTGGTGGTCTTTGGTGACCCCTCTGACACCCCCTCATGACCCCTCCAGGGGTCCTGACCCCCAGGTTGAGAAACACTGTTCTAGGATGATTGTTAACATCTAAACTCTTGAAGAATGATTAGTGGCTACCATAGAATGTGAACTTTTCTATTGATAGAACACCTTTATTCATTTGCTTGATGTCACTTGAGCCATCCAAAAACAAAAAATAAAAAAGCTACAAGTATTATCAGTGGTTGAATGAAAAATTATTTCAGAATATTTCTTCAATTGAAATATGAACTTGTATAGCTTCCACCTCAATAAAGTTCCATAATTGTCAGACATCTCTAGTGATTGTGCAGATTTTATGTAAGTTGATGTATCTCATATGATGTGAGGCATTCCATTCATCATGTTTTTCTGTGTGAAACGTTTTCTCTTGTCCTTCTCCGAATCAGCTGTGCAGGCGTTCAGACAGAAATGTCCACACTTCAGGAACAAATTAGCCACTTGGACAACCTGATCCATTCTCAGCACCGACACTTACATAGTGTGATTCAACAGGTTGGTGCAATCTATATTTAAATAGTATTCACATTCTTTGTGCACTGAGCATTGTGAAGCAAGTACCAACAGATCTGGGAGAAGCCCCAAACTTGCCAAATTTAAAAAATAATATTTATGGCAGGGGAGAGATCACTTTAAGTAATGGAATTCTCAGAACAAAATGACCAGTGACCCTGGAATGCTGCCTGACTATTGCTGGGGAAGTAAAAATAAAACAAGTGGGAAGGTAGCATGGGATGGCATCCTTTAGGAAAGGGCATGTGTGATGATTCTTACCTCGTAGGCCGAAGTAGGAGCCTGAGATGTCAGTAAGCAGGCCTCCATTTTGGGAGTGTAAGCGAGGGAGGCAGACATCTTGGGAGTGTAAGAGTAGAAGAGGGGAGGAGCTGGAGCTCTCTCTGGATTGGTTAGGGCAGATGGGAGGAGTTGAGCCCTGAGAGGGAAAAAGTGTCAACTTGACAGAATGAGACAGATTGATTTTTGGCTTTGAAGAAAGTGGGTGGTTTTGGGAACAGAGAAGAGAGGTGGATGTTTGGTGAGCTAAGATTTTCCTGTCAGAGGGCATTTGTGACAGGTGATTCTGCATTATTTGGCCAGGAGGGTCAAAGTAGACACCTGTGTGCTTGTGTGGGGTTTTTTTTGTCACAAGTGGTTTGCTCTCTGGGGTTAGAGTAGTTTAGCTTTTAGAGGACTCTGTTTAGAGTGTAGCTAAGTGCTCTGGGGACAACCTGGTTAGGTTCGTCTGGGGAACTCACTGCTACTGTGTCAGGGTAGAGTGAGGAGTCTTGCTCATTTTTAAGTTAAGAAACCTGTTTAAATAACCATTCAAGCTTGTGTGCCTCATTAATGAAGATAGTTGATTGTTTGTTTATATTATATCAATAAACATTTTCTCTAGTTCAACTTTTGAATAAGCCTCAGTAGTGATTCATTCTGTGAGAATAATTCCAGTGGCTTTTAACATCTTTACATCACAGTCATTTCAGGGAGCCAAAGGGAGAGCTGGTGGGCAGGAAAGAGTTTACCTCAGGGAACATTCTTTAATATTCCCAAATTACTTTGGGTGGTGGCAGCAACTCTACCAGAGTATACACGTTACCTCAACATACAACTAAACGCTCCGTGCCAAGAAGCATATTCCATCAGATTGGTGTCCAGCGGCGAGATTTATTTTGAGATCTCAGACCAATGATTCTTTAAAGTGGTGTACAACTGTGGGATTAATAATCTATAATCCTTTAGAGTGGTGCCAAGGTATAATATAAGATCCTTTATAACTGGGGGCAAGATATAATACGTTTCTTTAAAGCATGGCTGGCTAGATTCCTAAACAAAACATAATAATGAGGCCAGGAACACCCCCTTAACAGTTTGAAGTCACCTGATGCTCTCCATATAAGAAAAAATGGCAGTGTAAGAAAACTAGCTTGAAACAAATTCATAGTTTCATGAGTGTGGCTTAACAAATGTGCATCTAACAAGATTTATCACTAATTTTAATGGTTTCAGATGGAAGAACTGAATAATGAATTAACGCTCCAAGATGAAAAAATAGAAAGCCTGAAAGAAAAGATTGAGACACTCCAAGCAAAGGTAAAAGGACAGATGAAGGTGTTTTAAATATTGATTTTTGTTATCATACCAGTCTCAATTCCACAGGTACTTCACACTACAAAGCTGAGAATGTTTCTACCGATGGCACATAAAATGAGGCAAAATAATTTTCACTTTGCCCAATTCTTGATCATTTTAGCCATTTTCTCCCTGCTAAAGAAAACCTTTGAAAATGGTGTGCTTTTCAAAGCTTCATCACAGTTTAGAACTTGTGAATAAACTTTTTTTGGTGGAAATTATTCACATGCCAGTTTTGAACAAAATGTCCCCATTACAGCATTTCTGTACAAATAAGAATTTTGCACAGAACACACCTGAAACTCTGAATATTCTGATCAGATTTTTTTTTTACCAATTTTGAATATCTCCAAATAATTTTACACTCCTATTAATGAAAACATTTTTACTGGAGACAAAGGATAAGATAGTGCCTTCTGTTGCTTTAGTAGCATTGCCTACAGAATGTATAGTAGTTGCAAAAGGACAGATTCCTGCACCTTTTGCCTCTAGTGCTCCTACTGTTGTGTGGAAGGAAGAATTTTAGCAGGTGTTGCTTGCAGTGAGATTTCTAATTATTGAAAATCCATCTTCCACACATCTATGAGAAGCATGAAGCCCTGTGTCCATTCCTTACTGTATCAGGTCACGTGACACGCCACACAACACACAGCATTGGGGGGACATATTCAGGTGGCTATGTGCTTCCTAAGGTTTTCCTTTATGAATCATGGTGCAGTGAGGAAATTTAGCAGAACCTTGTGGGGGTCCTTGATTCTTCTACTGGCACCGGGGCTCCCTGTAAGGATGCGAAGGGATACATCATCCTTCAGCACCCTGCTCACCATCATTATGGAACTCTTATAAGTTTCAAATTTACAAATGTGGCAATGGCAATGATTTTGGCATCCATGGAAGCTCCTAGAACCAAAAACCCAGCAGATTTCAGGGGCCACTATTTAAATACTTGAACAGAGACTGGGTGGCCATCTGTCAGGGGTGCTTTTAATGTGATTTTCCTGCTTCTTGGCAGGGGGTTAGACTGGATGGCTCACGAGGTCTCTTCCAGCTCTATGATTCTATGATCGAAGGGATGTAATGTAGAAGATGAAGCAAAGTTGCTCACTGCTGTTCCAGAAAAATAAGACATGAACCAATGGATCCAAATTACAAAAAGAGATTGTTAAAATTAAGTTAACCAGAAGAGCTGTTCCACAGTAGAATTGACTCAAAGTGTAATGGACTCTCCTCAGTTGAATGTCTTTTAAGGAAAGTTGGATGGTCATCTTTGAAGATCCATTCGCTCTGCATTCCTACATGGCAGAGGGTTGTGCTGTATGGCCCTTGCTATCACTTCCATCCTTACAGTTATATAATACTATAGTTTTATGAAATTACACAAACTAATATATTTATTCTTTCCTTAACTTCTAGAACAAAGAACTGAAATACAAGGTGGAATTCTACTCTAGTCAGTCTAAACCAAAAGTCTCTAAAGCTGTTTCAGTAAAGTAAGGCTATATTTTCTTTTCTTTTTCATGGTCCAATGACTGGCATGTTAAGAATGATGAATATATATTGTCACTTTATTGGAAATGAGCAGATTTGCTGCAGTATGCAATATATAGCACTGTATGGCCAGTTGGCAAGAGGAGATTTGGGGAAATACTCAGTAGCGAAACCTGATTTCAGCATCTTGGCTCACTCAGTGATCATTATATCCTTCAGAATATCTAGTTAGAGTTTTACTCTGAAGACCAACAACATTGCCACTCTTCTGGAATGTGGCTAGTGCTATGGAGTCTCTCCACATGATGGGGCCAAAGCACACAATAAGTGGGTCTCACACAACATGTTGGCTTTATTCTACTGTTGCTAATGTATGAAAACATTTCTCTCACTTGGTTACTAGAATGGTTGAATGACTCCAAATCTAATTATGGTCAGCACTAGTGCTAACCATAATTAAAGAACACACATCATGGTTTGCTCTCATCTGAAACTTCTGCCATTGGGTGCAGAATAGCCAAAGCTACATGATTTAATAGCAAAGTTAAAAAAAAACGATATGTACAAAAATGAGGCTATAATCAAGGATAATATATGCAAAACAGTAATGCATCTTATTTATTTATTTATTTACTTACTTACTTACTATATTTATTTACTATATTTATATCCTGCCTTTCTCAACCCGGAAGGGAACTCAAGGTGGCTTACAGCATAGGCAATAATTAGTCAATGTGTCTTATTAGTCAGTGTGTTGTTACATGATGATATAATTAAATATATAGGTAAGTGGAGAGATGGGGAACATGTAGCTGTCCAAATAATCTCAGAAAGCAATTCCCAGTATGGCTCACATGTGAGCTGGGCATTTTTTAACAGCTATTTTTAAACAGCTATTAACAGTCGGACGCTCAACCCCAACTCAGGCTTTGAACTTGCCACCTTTCGGTCAGCAGTGATTAACCAGTTGTGCTACCAGCCCGGCCAATTATGAATGTGTTTTATGATTTCAGTAAATTTGTATTCAAGCATGCAACTAGACACTGTTGGCAGGCAATCTGTTGATTAGATTGAATACTAATCCAATATAATTCTTCAAATCAACCCAACAAGCACATTACATAGGTGTAGGACCAAGTGCCAGTCTAAACTACAGCAGAGCCATTGATTCAGTTGGATGTACCCATTTTTTTGCTCCACAGTCAATTCAGTGGAACTACTGTAGTTTGGAACCAGCCAGTAGGATTTTAGCCATGGCCTTGCCACAAGATTATTTTGCACAAGCTAAGTTACATCTTCTCTATAAGAATATAATGGTCCAGTGGGCTGCGGCCAGGTTGATAACAGGGGCGGTGCTCAGAGAGCATACAACTCCTCTGTTGTGCCAGCTCCACTGGCTGCCAATTTGCTTCCGGGCACAATTCAAACTGCTGGCTTTAGCCTATAAAGCCCTTAACGGTTTCGGTCCAACTTACCTATCCGAATGTATCTCTCCTTATTAACAAGGACACTAAGATCTTCTGGGAGGCCCTGCTCTCGCTCCCACCTTCCTCACAGATGCATCGGTGGGGACGAGAGACAGGGCCTTCTCAGCGGTAGCCCCTCGACTGTGGAATGCCCTGCCTAGAGAGAAAAGATTAGCCCCCTCCCTCCTGACCTTTCGAAGAAAGGTGAAAACCTGGCTCTTCGAGCAGGCCTTCCTAAATGCAGCATAGATATTTGATATTATGGACAACTGACGACGCTACTGGACAATAATTGCATATGGAGATGCTTTGATAATGTTTTTTAATGCTCTGTATGGTTTTTATATTTTTTTATTGCTGTTAGTGTTTTAATAATATTTATGATTGTTTTAATTGTTGCAACTGTTCTGGCATCAAATTGTTGCCTATTGTTAACCGCTCTGAGTCACACTTGGGCTGAGAGGGGCGGCATATAAGCATAAGAAATAAATAAATAAATAATACTCATCTCCTTATTCCTACAGGTTGGATACAGGTTTACCATATACCACGATTTCCAGATTACGCAGATGAAGGATCCCTAGGAAACATGGACCTTTCCCCAGATCATTCTTCTATTGTCTTACATTCAAGGATAACCCTTCTGTGCAATTTTGTTTGAAATATGCCGTACAGGAAATCTCATAACATTCTTGAGCGTCTGGACTCACTGGAGCAAAGATGGAATCCCAGGATTTTCAAGCAATAGAGCAAATGTCCTGATGTGAAAGACAGATTGTTTACTTTTAATTTATTTATAAAGACTCAATGGTAGAGTTGTGCATATTCCTATCAATGCAGTGCCATCAGCACTGATTCATCTACATTGAAGAGATTTCATCAAGCCAGGTCTGTGTGTGATGAACAGCACCTTCATCTATGCTGGAGAACATATGGAGAGTTAACGAGGCTGAATCTGAGCCCAGAAAGTTATGTCAGATATAATGATGCAAAAGAGGAGAAAAATAACTGTGGAGGACTGATCCACCCACAGCAAACTTAAGCCAAGGTTTGTAATGGCAAACTCCCCCAAATTGCCTATTTCAGGGATGACTTGGATGATATTATTTCTGTGCCATGGTATCGTTTCCCTTTTTAGGGTATCCTGAGAATTGCACTGTGGGATAAAAATGAACCATATTCCATTGGCACTATGTTGTCTGCCAATATATTGACATAAGTTGCCACCTAGTTGCCTGTGTGGTTAAAGGATGTGGACGTACAGTGAGAGGATGTCTGCAAAGACTTATCTGTCTCAGGACAGAAAGCCACCCTACGGAGTTGTGAGCTGCTCAAAATCAAACACAGCAGTTTGTTTTGATAACAGGGATTGCTTTCTCTGCCATCCATCTCCTTGGCACCACTTTCAGCCACTGCCAAAAGTAGTTTATCCCACCGTTATGCAGTGTAGGGCACCAATAAGTTTCCAGCCTGCATTGGCATGCATATATTCAGCATTTATGAATGTACATCAACAAAAATGATTGACATCTCACAAATTTAGTCTGTAGGATATTTTGTCAGGAGCCATGGCTGGTACAATGTTGTTAAAATGCTTGTAGTGGAAATCAGAACTTGAAAATGTTCTGTATTTAAGTGATAGTGCCTCCCAGAATCCTCTACCAGTGATTCATTGCCTTTAATAACTCAGATTTTTGGGTGCTGTCATCCAAAAAGTAAAGAACATTTTGAGGCTCACTATGATCACACTTCAGTGTTTTAAAATGTATAATACCAACCATAACAAGCTTATATAATACCGAACAGGATTGTATCAACTGGATATAGGAAAGCATAGCAGTCTCAGTCCAGACACAGTTAAATGTTCCTGCTTCTCACTGAGTTTAAATTGCTGAAATAATCATGTATTTCTCCCACTGTAACAATAGATGCTAAAATTGCTACAGAGCACCCTTTTAAGTGTACATATTAGGGGGTAAGCCCCATTGAGCACAGTGGGAGTTTACTGTTGAGTGAATATGAATATGACCAAGCTGTAAATTGGGCTGAAATTATGCCACAAGATATAGTGTCAGTGTTAAGTCCTGTTAATTTAAATGAAGAATAAGGTTCATGGTTATTTATTGATTAACTATATGTATTTTATGCCCTAAATTATATTTTTCCAAGGTCTATTTAGAAAAAGATCCAAACAATTAGAATGTAAATGCAAAAAATTAAATTAACATTAAATGGAAACTATCACAAAACTATCAAAGCAGCATAAACCTGCCAGCAGGATTAAAGATGCATTTATAGAGCTCAGGAAAATAAAAGCCCCTGCCTAGTACAAAAAGGACAAGAAAGGAAGCTTAACTGTTCTGCTGCATTTGGCAAGACTGAAAGAGATCCTGAAATCTGGTAGGATCACCTGTGTTTGTTTATTTTAGAGCCATAATGTTGCATTATGAAAATGGCATGGTTTGACTGTCTTGGAGCCCTTTCACACTGTAGTATCGCAGCAGTTTGGTTCTATTTGAACCACCAAGTCTTCATCTCATGGAACCTTGGAACTTGTAGTTTAGAGAGACTAACTGCTTCTCCTGAAATTGCAAACCCCAGGCTTCCATAGTGGAAAGTGGAATCATAGCACTAAAACTGCACAGTGTAATGGGACCTTTAGTTGCTGATATATGTTGTAGTTATTATTTTAACTTATAATTAAAGTTACTGGAACTGTGTCCAAGATCCAGTCTGTCAACCCTGCTTTGGTTGAATGATTCTGAATGACAGACGGTTGGACAAGATAGTCCTTGTGGTCCCTTCTGATGCTATGAAATTGAAAGAGGATCGGCAATACAGAATCAGTTAGGGAGCCATGAACTTGCTTGAATGTAAAGTACTGCTGAAATGAGGGGAATTCTGGATCCCATTTGAAGCAGAATTAGCAGGCGTATTGTATGGCACAGAGGCACCCCGTTTACTATTTTTTATGCCATATTGGATATTCCTGTTTTGGAAAAGTGGTGTATGTGTATTTTATTTTTTTTTAATAAATAAATAAAATATCCAGTCGCTGGACAACATATTACATTGTTTTAACAAAATGATAGTCAATTTTTTGTGAGAACATCAGCAACCTTTTAATAATCTGGGTGTGCATCTTCCACTTCAAGAAGGGCATTAGACAAACTCATTGATTATGTCTTCACTTGGTAACTATGTCTGCACGAATACTGCTGCAGTTAAATTACAGGGGAGACTATGGAACAACAGTTCAGTCTGACCTCAGATGAGATCAAGCAAGTTTTCCTTGCAGAATCATAATACTGCGATTTTTTAAAAATGCAACAATTCTCCAAAGATATGTGTTGCCTGAAAGAACATCAAAGACCTGTGATTTGTTTAAACAAATCTGCACACTGTCTCTGTGTGGTGCCTTTATAGAATCATAGAATCATAGAATCAAAGAGTTGGAAGAGACCTCATGGGACATCCAGTCCAACCCCCTGCCAAGAAGCAGGAATATTGCATTCAAATCACCCCTGACAGATGGCCATCCAGCCTCTGTTTAAAAGCTTCCAAAGAAGGAGCCTCCACCACACTCTGGGGCAGAGAGTTCCACTGCTGAATGGCTCTCACAGTCAGGAAGTTCTTCCTCATGTTCAGATGGAATCTCCTCTCTTGTAGTTTGATGCCATGTTCCGCGCCCTAGTCTCCAAGGAAGCAGAAAGCCAACTTGCTCCCTCCTCCCTGTGGCTTCCTTTCACATATTTATACATGGCTATCATATCCCCTCTCAGCCTTCTCTTCTTCAGGCTAAACATGCCCAGCTCCTTAAGCCGCTCCTCATAGGGCTTGTTCTCCAGACCCTTGATCATTTTAGTCGCCCTCCTCTGGACACATTCCAGCTTGTCAATATCTCTCTTCAATTGTGGTGCCCAGAACTGGAACACAATATTCCAGGTGTGGTCTAACCAAAGCAGAATAGAGGGGTAGCATTACTTCCTGATCTAGACACTATGCTCCTATTGATGCAGGCCAAAATCATTTCTCAGCGGCCTTCGATACCGTCGACCACGGTATCCTTCTGGGACGCCTCGCGGGGATGGGTCTGGGAGGTACTGTTCTGCAGTGGCTCCACTCATTCCTCGAGGGTCGGTCTCAGAAGGTGTTACTGGGAGACTCCTGCTCAACCCCACAACCTTTGCTTTGTGGGGTTCCTCAGGGTTCAATACTGTCTCCCATGTTGTTTAACATCTACATGAAGCCGCTGGGCGAGATCATCCGGAGTTTCGGAGTGAGATGTCATCTGTACGCAGATGATGTCCAGCTCTGTCACTCCTTTCCACCTGCTACTAAGGAGGCTGTCGAAGTCCTGAACCGGTGCTTGGCCGCTGTGACGGTCTGGATGGGGGCGAACAAATTGAAATTGAATCCAGACAAGACAGAGTTACTCCTGGTCAGTCGTAAGGCCGAACAGGGTATAGGGTTACAGCCTGTGTTGGACGGGGTCGCACTCCCCCTGAAGACGCAGGTTCGCAGTTTGGGTGTGATCCTGGACTCATCGCTGAGCCTGGAACCCCAGGTTTCAGCGGTGACCAGGGGAGCATTCGCACAGTTAAAACTTGTGCGCCAACTGCGACCGTACCTTGGGAAGTCTGACTTGGCCACGGTAGTCCACGCTCTGGTTACATCCCGTCTTGACTACTGCAACGCTCTCTACGTGGGGTTGCCTTTGAAGACAGCCCGGAAGCTCCAATTAGTCCAACGGGCGGCAGCCATGATACTAACTGGAGCGGGGCGCAGGGAGCATACAACTCCTCTGTTGCACCAGCTCCACTGGCTGCCGATATGCTACCGGGCTCAATTCAAAGTGCTGGTTTGGCCTTTAAAGCCCTAAACGGTTCTGGCCCAACTTACCTATCCGAACGTATCTCAGCCTATCAGCCCACCAGGGCCCTAAGATCTTCTGGAGAGTCCCTGCTCTCTATCCCGCCGGCTTCCCAAGCGCGGCTGGTGGGAACGAGAGACAGGGCCTTTTCTGTGGTAGCCCCTCGGCTTTGGAACACCCTCCCTTCAGAGATACGATCGGCTTCTTCGCTGATGGTTTTCCGGAAGAGGTTAAAAACATGGCTGTGTAGTCAAACGTTTAACTAGTTATCAAACACTGAATCCATGGACAATTTGGACTGGTCAATTACGGACAACGATCTCTGGACTGCGATTTTTGTGATGAGAAGCATGAAGTTTTATTGGTGGCCCAATAATTCGTATTGTTTTATATGTTGCTGTTTTTAAATTGTATATTGTTTTTATCTGTTGTTAAACCGCAATGAGTCGCCGTTCCAGGCTGAGATACTGCGGTATATAAGTGTATTAAATAAATAAATAAATAATTGTATTTCCAGAAGGAGAGCATTGTCATAGATATTTCATTGGGACAATAACACCAGTGGAGAAAACAGTGTGGTTGTGTGCAGTAGTGTCAACATAAACATGATGGTACTTTTCTGACCATCCACTCTTGCCCAATGACAGTGCATGGCAGAGCCACAGGAGCAACAATCCCCAGCAAAGCCACAGGCAATGGTAATCCATAATAGAGGGCAATGAAAGTTAATGGATGGATTATGTCTGGCCAGAGAAAAAAATCCCAATTTTTGTGGTACTCTATTATGCAGTGGGAGCTTATGTTGTATAATAGGATATAATATGCAGTACCCTGCCATGCAGTGGGAGCATTGATTCTAAAGAGCACATTTTGTTTTCGTCTCATTGATTGACATCACTACATTTCTCTAATAGGGCCAGCTCCATCACCATAAAGTTACACATCACAACACATGATGCAAGCTCGTGACCTATATTTGAATTTATTTCATTGACCTCAAGGCAGCACATACCCTATCAACTTTGCAAGGTAGGACAGCAGTGAAAGAATGAGTAGCACAGGGTAACAGATTTTCACATCTCAGTGGGGATGTGAACCTGGATCTTGAAGTCCCACTGAGATCACCTGAGGTTTATTCCGTCTTAAGCAATGTCTGAAAAATGTCAATTTTGATTTGATCTCAGAGAGAGGAGAACTCCTTCAGTTCTCCCGGTTCTCCCTAACTTTTTCATGAATGAGTATTTTCAAAAATGTCTATATACTTTTGCAAACAGATATAAATCTGATGCTCAATTTTTTAAACATGTTCTCCTCATCTGAAGCTTTGGAATCATTGCCATTATTAAAGATTTACAAGGAACTCTCCTACACACTTGCATATGAATTATTTAGTAGGCCCAGCAGGATAGTTGCTGAGCTGCCCCCAGGAATTAAAAATAAGGCAAATTATAACATCAAATAGTATTCTGAGTCTGCCATTCAAGACAATTGAGTTAGGAAAACATGGAAGCCAAAAATCCAAATATTTCAATAAAATCAAAAACTGAAATAGAAGTTTCAAAGGCATACTCTTAATTTAGAGCCCAAGCTTCATGTAAAATATTGTTATGTATCATAATGTCATATTAGCATAAAGGTACTTTAAAGGTTTTCTGTAGCACCTTTGAAACTGAGAAACAATCGTCATAACAGGATAAATTCCCATCTTCCTCTATCTGACAAGGCAACTCTTCTGATACATCATGGCCTACTTAAAATATTGTTTTTTCAGATGACTGCTATAAAATGTAGAACAAACTAAAAAAACCCAAAAGGCTAGCTGCATGAATGCAATGTTACCCTAATGCATCTTCTGATAATAATCTCAAGCAACAAGTGTCACAATAATTTAAAGTAATTTCTTTCAAATGTACAACATGGGTGCATTGTCAACATTCTTTGCAACAAGGGAACCAAAAGTTGCTCATTTGTCTGTAAAATTGGCACGATGTTCCCACTTGTAAATGGTCTGAATTTAAATACTTCATGATGACATCATTCTGTTTTGCTCTCCAGTAAAACAGTCCACTACTGATTAAAAATGTATTCTTTTTATTTATTTTTAAAAGAACAGCGCAGAAATGAAATCACAAGATTACATTCCTTGACCATATTATACAAACCCAGACACCAGTGGAGAAAGTGTGACAGTGTGCATGTGTATATAGATATTATTTTAAAGCCACGGGTACTTTGGTACAACAAAGTAATGACTGACATTGTTATGCTGGTATCACGGTCTACCAAGAGACGTATAATAAAAACCTCCACATTCAAGAATGTATTGTTTTTTAACATTTACAGACCTGCCGCAAAGACCAACATAAAACATGCTTGGAGTTATCTAACAAGAGTGGGGAAATCCACAAAACAAAGAATATCCCCCTCCCCCCAAAAGCAATTGATTGACTAGAAGGTTGTTAGTGTTAAATCAGAAAGACAAAGAATACAAAGTTTGAAAAGAATTTAATAAATATATTCAGGCAAGATACATGGCGTACCTTAAATAATATAGTTATGTACACTGAAAGGCCTATTGTGCAGAAAGGATGAACATTTAGAGAAGATAAATTTTCAATAATGACTCAGTTTAAATGGTTTACATGAAATTAGCTGTAGAACATAAAGGCTGCCACCTACTCTTCTCTGAACAGGAAGGAAAACATTGTTTTTAAAGTGCACAAATGGCATGTACTGCTTAGCACTACCTAATCCCCACATCTAAGCCTAGCCCTATGTAGATGGTTTGAAGTGGGGAAGGCAGATCACAGGTACAACACAGTCAAAATGAAAGTGTGCTACTTGCAGAATATGTCCTACACACATCTTTCTACTTGCATGAATGTTTCTTAGTGCAATGCTAACCAGACTCAAGTAATAAGGTTCCAACCACCTCTTTTAGCCTTGGTTAATTATGTGTCTCCTCACTGTCTTAACTTGGGTCTTCTGAATTTCCTTCTTTAAATACACACACAATCTGATGTTAATTTGACCTTCACTGCAAGGTAGGCATTCCCCATCCTATGTGTTGATCTTTCCTATGGAGAATTAGAGTGCTATATATATGCTGTGTTCCTGGGAAAAGCCACAGAACATGCCAAGTTCTCCAGGAATAGTCATTCAAAGACAGCCAACAATACTCAAAGCAATAGCAGACCATCACTGACTTATGGAGAAAGGGATACTTCAGGTGGTAGCTTTGAGAATAACAAAAGCACAAGGTTGAACACTCTTGCAGGTCTGAGATGGAAAGACTCTTCCGTTAACATAAAAGACAGTTCCAAATGAGGTAATGATTTTTTTTCTTGAGATCCAACTGATACTGATCTAATCTGTCTAGGTGGTCAACATCTTGTTTACTATCCAGCAGCATGCAATATCTTTCCCTTCGCTGGTAAATGCTATCAGGGACATTTTTAATTCCCTACAGGCTTCTCCAAATAGAGCCATGCTTCACATGCCATCAGTCATAGGTTCTCCTTTCCCTCTCTCTCTCTCTCACACACACAGGTTTTGCTGCCAATAATCACAACATATATTGAAGAGCAATTGCTGTAGCCATAATTTTAAGCAGAGCAGACAGAGGCCTGCAATTGGAATGCCACCTCTTATTTTCATATAAGCTTTCCTACTGCCCTGACAATTATTGATCCATGGTCTGCAGATGAGATTTACTCTAGTATTCTGATGTTTTCAATGCATGTTTTGTTAAGCAGCCAGTGTTGGAACTGTGAAAGCAAAATGTTGCCTGATGTATGCTTACCTAGTGTACCTTCCACTTTCATTTCCAACTCTCTTGAGGCAGGGATGAAGTGCTACAGGATGCTACAGAAGATTAATTATGCAGCAGAGAATGAATCAGAAGAGACGTAATTGAAATGTTTAAATGAATTTGACGGCGGTAATCACAGCAGCCTTCTAGTTTGCTCCAGTAGTGTGTAGTTAATATAGAATCAATGTGGGAATTTGCATCTGAGTTGCCAGTAACTACAAATGGATTGAGATAGTGCTCTTTTGCATGTAGCATTTGGAGAGGAAAATGCTATTGTTTTTCCACCTCTCGATCTTCTGCATGCAAAGGCTTGAGAGTTTACAACAGAAATATTTCATATGAACAAATGGGTATGGATGGTTACAATATGGGCATGATGACATACATAAGGGGAATGGGCCTCTACAGACTTGATCTTAAGGCCATGCAGGAGTACTACCAGCCCAACTTTTGTTGTCATAGTGTTGGTACTCGGAAGCCATGGGCTACTGTTATTCTAGAGAAAAGACCATGATGAAGTAGAACAAGATGGCAACAGGACTTAAAATTTTTGAACCCACTGTTCAAAAGTTAGGAAGGATGACAATCGAAATATGCATTCCAGAGCAACACACGTGTATAACATTGAAATATCAGTGCCTGTGTCCTTCCACTATTGAATTTATGGTGCCAGAAGGACCACACAGTCCAGCTAGAAGACGGAAAACCTCTCAAAAACCAGTGAAGTGCAACTCCCTAAAAATAACCTGGTACTTCTCAATTAAAGTCATTCATGTGTATCAATTCTACAGCGGTAACCTTTTGGCAATAGAAAAAGTAAGGCAAGGTTAAGGAAAAGTATTCAGAACTTTAGAATACTGAGAGTGCACAGTAAGGTCAAATACATATTGTGTGAATCTTTAAATTTTTAGTAGGAAAGCCAGTATGAAATCGCAAGAAGGTGGTAGAAAAAAGGAGACAAAATGTTCCTCACATCAACTTTTATAACATAAGACCGTACAGCAGAGAAGATTATCCCCTTTAATGAATTCAGAATCCATTATTCTTTTCGAGTGAATTAAAACACCCACACTCACTCGAGTAATTAATCTCAAGCAAGATACTCTGAATCTAAGTTGAGTAGTCTGTTCTTTCTCTGGTGTAAAAACATGTTTTCTCTATGACGACATGCACTCATTCAACAGTACTGAGAAAGGCAACACTAGCAATAAAGACGCTAACTTTGCAAGGAGCTATTAATAATGGATTAAAAAAAACAAGAGTTTCTCAAGACTTATAATATATATTAAATGTATTGTCTGACACCTCCATCATGAATTACAATGGAGTTAATCTGGTTCATGCTGTTGCAACTCACTTTTATGGTGATTGCACAAGTCTTTTCCCATCACATAATGCCTCAAAGTCCCCCACCTCCAAAAAAACCCAGATTTTTGACCTGTGTAGTCCCTCCGCCATAGCCAATTCCATGTTGTTAAATATGAGGAAATGAGCAAGGATATGTCCAGCTCTCTTTCTGCAGCTGGACATACTATAAAAGGCATCTGCAGGAAAGATAATACAGGAAAAATCCTGCTCACCCCTTCCACTTTCTGAAAATAAAGAAATGATGATGTAGGTGTGAAGTGGAAAGGCACTGACCCGTTCAAAGAGTAGGTTTGTGGGGGTAGCATTGGGAGACATAAGCACAGAGGTCTAGTTACACCTTCATAACTATGTTTACCAATGGTTGCCATTATGTTAAACTGTTCTGAGCAAAGAAATGGAATGAAATTGAAGAAAAAAAATTCTGTGTCACATTATCCCACAAAAATATCATTTCTCTGTCTCATTAAAACATTGCATATATAGACTTCAAAAGTGAAAATATTTGTGGCCATCTAGTAAGTATATCCATTTTGCATTGGACTAATACAAGATCATTCCTTCCTAGTAAGATGAACTTTCCAAAATTAGATAACAGTGACAGGCTATGGCAGCCTATTTTGGAAAGAAGAGAAAAGATCTGACACCAAGCCAAGAAGGATGAAGAAAAAGCAGAGACCAATAGGCTAAACCCCTAAATCCATCTGCTAATCCCGACTCAAGTAGACCCACTGAATCAACAGCTGAACTGTCAACACATCTGTAATTTCCCCTTCTCCAATGAGTTACTCAGACCAGGATTAACAATTGGATTTAGACCACACTGCTTAAGAGTTGTATTCTTTCTATTCAGTCTTATTCAAACGCAAGAAGCAAGACAGGGCCTTGGGAACATAATAGAAGGAAAGTTACTGAACTTTTATTTGAGAAAACCAATTTAGAATATCACTGTCCTGTCACATTTGGCTTTAAGTTATACATGTTTCTCAACAGCTGGTCTATCTACAATATTGGAATCGACCTCATTCTTCCATCTCGCTGTTCTTCAACATTCTTAAGTTTAAATGCTTCAAAATTCTGGAGTACCCACTTGTAAAATAAAAATAAAATTACACGGATATGGAAAGAAAATCTATTGAATTTATATGGACCTTAATGGATATTCCTTCCCAGTCTCCCTTTTCCTGTACAGAAAGGGGACTCTGATATCACAATTCTAGTGTCATCAGGGAAAGTGTTTATCATTCATGTGTACATGTTATTGGAACATGAGTAGCATATCCTTGCCCAGAATGTTTAAAAACACAGGTAATACCTTTCAGGTTGTGGAAAACTTTCCAGACTTTAAATCTACCATTTCTGGACATCTTTCTCTTGTAAGCCCACATCTCTCTGGACTGATATGGAGTGTTATTTAGTTCCCTGACTTTGTTTTGGAAGAGGACTCCAAATTATGAATTAAGAGCTTAGGCAGCTGAATATAACTGCAAGAGCTGTTTGTATTTTTTTACAGTCATTTAAAATAATCCACATTAAATAAACACTCTTTTTTCACAACCTGTCTTTAGCAAATGCAAAATGTTCACTGTAATAGAAGGCATTCAATGTGATGATATAGGCCTCAAGGCTGACCTCTTACCTGATCATAAAATAGTCTTCTAACATTTCAATAAAGTTTTCTCTCAAATAAGCATTTCCTCTATTTATTAGACTAATGGTACTGAAAAGATGAGGGCCTTTGGGTTTTTTATTCATGAAGATGGCACGATAAAGGGAGCATTTGTTCAAATATGACTCTCTCGGTATCAAAACACACCAGGCTTGTTTAAGACAATAACAGCTGTCCCATGTAGTCCATAGGAGCTTCCAGGATTCAATTCAGTGGTTGATCAATCTGTCTTTTTCTGATTGGACATATTTTCATTCTTTCTCCTCAGATCAAGCAATGAAGTCAACAAGCACACCTCTTTTCTTCTGATTTTCCTGAAGCCAGCTTCCCTGAACTTCCCCCATTGGCTGTGTCAGAGGCTTGAGACTTGTCAACACACTGTTCCATACGCTTCATTATCAAGTCCAAAAGGGTTTCTACTGCCTGCTCCACATTCTGGCCAGTAGCTGCACTCGTTTCAAAGTATGGAATGCTAACAAAAGGAAATATTCGGGAAAAAATCTAATCAGTTTTTAAAAGAGGAACATTTAATACATTATACACAATTCTTTCTTTCAAAGAACAACTTAAAAATTAACTTTAAAAATCCGGAATGGTCTTCCATCATGCACAATTGTTTGGCTTCAGTCTCAATGCAGCCACATCATAGGCCTTCAGCTCCTTGTCTGTGTGCATGTCTAAACAAACCTACTTTGACTCTCTGCTCTTTATTCTAACATATCAAAGGTGGTACCAGAAACTCCTCATAACTACAGTCCTTCTAGGAGCAACAGATGAAACAAATGCATGTGTTATACAGAGAAGAGAAGAGAAAATGCTATGCATCTCCATCGAAACCCCAGTTTTTAGCTATTTTGTTGTGTGCCTTCAAATTTTCTGAGGTTGTGCAATTTTCTCATGGCCATCCAGTTTATTTTCACAGCTGAGCAGAGTTTCAATCCCTGTTCTCTAGAGTTGTACTTCAAAACCTGAAGTACCATGCAAACCTCCCTTAGGATTCTGGATTCTTTTTACAGAAATGTTGTGCCAAAAGAGAAATATATATGGAAGAGTTAAGTGCTAATAATAATAGCAATAATACTTTATTTATACCCCGCCACCATCTCCCCAAGGGACTCGGTGCGGCTTACATGAGGCTGAGCCCACAATACAACAATACAAGCAATAACAACAACAATACAAACCAATTAAAATAAATCTCATACACAGAGTAACATAAACATTAACAATAGCACAATACACATTTAAAATCTGTGGCTAGGCCAAATGTAATTAAAGTTTTAAAATAATGCTGAGTATGGACAAGATAAAGGAGGTGGGGCGTTAGTGGGAACATATAAGCAGTCCTAAATCAATATAAAGTGCTTTTGGAGGACAAAGTGCTAAGGGTTCATTATTCTAACATTAAGGAACCCTTGATGACAATGGCAAACCATGGTTTGGAACCATTTTGGTGGACCAAAAGGATCCTCTGGTTCTCATGAGAAAGATAGGATGGAGATGGTCAGCTAGAAGCACTTCTAGCAATTCTGGTTTTCAACTGGGAGCTTTATGGTGCACCCCTTGAGCCATTCAATGGCTGCCCTGGTTGGGACAGTAGGAAGGATAAAGTTATGTCTATGCCTGAATTCAGATCAGCATGTAAGCTGGACCAACTTGCATGATGTCATATTGGTGCAAATGGAATATGTCATATATTGGTGCAAATATAGGTAATGAAATGCCTTCAACTGAATAAAAAGGTATTTGAAAGGGACTTGACTGTGTATACCACCACATCCTAAATCCAGCAATGGCGTAAACAATGAGCTCATTGCTATTCATGCAGATGTTAACAAAGAACACTGGCTCACCCGTATTTGTCTGCAAGGTCTTTTGCTTGTCTTTCGTTCACCTCTCTCTGATCTGACAGGTCAGCTTTATTTCCAATTAACACTATGTCTGGGCTCTCGCAATAAGCATTTGCCTGTAGTTGACCTAATGAAAGCAAAAATAATTCCTGTTTTTTAAAAAAAAATGCTAGTTCAAACAGATTAGTAGAAACAATTGTTTTTTCAATACAGACAAATATATAACTGATTTTAAAGTCACAATAAGTTACATGTAAGGGAAATGAAATAAAAATGAAAGAAAGATAGCAGATAGGCATCCATTTAAAATGTTGCATAAATTATCTGAAATCTGGCATTTTTGCTATTTTAATGGAATAAATCAAATTTATACAGTGCATTTTAAGTATTCAAAGCCTTTCAAATGTAATGTCCCAATAACGTTTACAACAGTCTTGTAGGATAACCAATATAATCTCAATGTTTCACAAATAAGCATGTTGGTGACTACTGTCTTGAAGCAAGAAAATGGCATGGAACAAGTTGTTGGGTCACACCAAAAATCTATTGGATTAGCATTGTTTCCCTTAATAACTAATCAGATATTCAAGGAGAGTCTACAAACAGATCTTGGAATGTACCTGTTAAGTTTTTAGTAAAGCTTTGGGAGAACTTCATGTGTCACAAGCATTTTTTTTTACATTATGCTAAGCAAGAGATTCTACCTCATACAGGGAATCTCACTATATGAAGGATGACAGATGCAATCCAGTCTAATCTAAAACCACTCAAGGCCAAGAGAGGTGTCTGTTGCCTTCACTTACTCATCCAGTTCCTGACATTTAAGAAGCTCTGTTGACTGGTGAGATCAAACATTAACAAGAAGCCCATGGCATCTCTGAAAAATGCAGTCGTGAGACTTCTGAATCTGCCAAGAGAAAAAAAAAGTGAGAGGATCAACATACAGAATGAGTTTGAACATTCAGTAGGCAAATGTTTCTCTGCTGCATAGCTTCATGGTGCTGAAATAAAAAAGATAAATGAGAAGGGAACGTTTTAATACTCTCCTTGGGCTGGGGAGCGGGGGGGGGGGGGGGGGGAGTAAAGGAAAGTTTATATTTCCGGATTCATTGTTATTAAAATGTTCCTGCAATGAAAGTGTTATCAGAGGCAGCCCTAGGTAATTTTCAATGGTAAGCAAACAGTATTTTGGTCCCCCCCCCCAACCAATCACTGATATATATTTTCTGTTCGTCATGGGAGTTCTGTGTGCCATATTTGGTTCAATTCCATCATTGGTGGAGTTCAGAATGCTCTTTGATTGTAGGTGAACTATACATCCCAGTAACTACAACTCGCATATGTCAAGGTCTATTTTCCCCCAAAAGCGCCTCAAGACGCCCCTGGGCAAAATCAACTATACTGCAATGCTTACTTTGCGTAATGGGTTGAGCCGCCCCTGTTATACTACACTAACAAAAACTGCACTGAAGCAGACAGGAGAAAAAAAGGCTGCATGAAAAAGTAATGCACAAGCAAGTGACAATCTGAATTACCTTAGTTTACAATGCTTCAAATGTAATATGGATCCCCCTAAATATAAATAAATCAACACTTCACCCACAGTGGAGAATTCTTCAAGTGCACCTCTGCAAATGAGCAAGATGGGAGAGTGAGGAAGAAGAGGTGAAAGAACAAGGAGGTTGAAGTGAGACAACAAAATTGTTTGAAGTTTTGATATGGGGTTTTGTGTAAAAAAAAAGTTACTGAGATTCTTTTACCTGCCTAGGTTGGAGGAACTTCCTCACTCCCGAAGGACATCACTCCCTAAGGACATCAGGCATGCCCCTACCTTGGCAAACTTTAAGAGGAGCTTGAAGACGTGGTTGTTCCAGTGTGCCTTCCCAGAATAGTGATCCCATAGCACTTTGTCCTCCAAAGCACTTCATATTGTTTTTAGGTCTGCTTGTATGTTTCCATAAACCGCCCTATCACTTCCTTTGCCCATGTCCAGCATTATTTTAATTTTAATTACATTTGGCCTACCCATAGTTTTTAAAGTGTGTTGTCCTATTTGATAATGTTTGTGTTATTGTTTCATTGTTTTGTTGTTTTTAAACTGCTTGTATTGTTGTTGTTATTGCTTGTATTGTTGTATTTTGGGCTCAGCCTCATGTAAGCCGCACCGAGTCCCTTGGGGAGATGGTAGTGGGGTATAAATAAAGTATATTATTATTATTATTATTATTATTATTATTATTATTGGAACAGAGATGGGGAGAAGGAAGCTTGGCATTGTTGGAAGGGAAGAGTCTTAGGGCCCTTCCACACAGTCATATAACCCAGAACATCAAGGCAGAAAATTCCACAATATCTGCTTTGTACTGAGTTATCTGAGTCCACACTGCCATATATTCCAGCTCAAAGCAGATAATGTGGGATTTTATTCAGCTGTGTGGAAGGGGCCTTAGATGGCCTTTCTGATCTCTTCCAAATCTTATGATTCTTTGCCTGCTTAAAAGGGGAAACAGGAGGGGATTGAAGAAACCTGAATATTATTTGGAGAAAGGGATTTCCTTTGGCTGCTTAGAATGCAGTGCAGTAGATAGATGTGGAACTATGAAAGAACAAAACATGGAACGGCCTAGACGATGCTACTGGATAATGAGATTAACAGGAAGACATTGGAAGAAATATATTTTAATGGTTTTGTATGGAGTTTATAATGTTGTTTTAATTGTTTTTAATAAGGGACTGTGGCCCAGCTGGCTGAGTGTCAACTGCATTAACATCACTTCTGACTAAATGGTCATGAGTTCGAAGCCAGCCCGGGTCGGAGTGAGCTTCTGACCAATTGTGTAGCTTGTTGTTGACCTTTGCAACCCAAAAGACAGTTGAATCTGTCAAGTAGGAAAATTAGGTACCACTTATGTGTGGGGAGGCTAATTTAACTAATTTACGAGGCCATAAAAAAGACTCCAGCAAAGCACTCCAGCAAAAGCATGCGGGGAATGCGGAAGTACTTCATCAGTGTCACAGATGGACGATGAAAGCGACAGCTCCCTTGGCGGCCAGAAAAGTGGAAGGTTAAATAGCCTCTGACTGTCTGTCTATATGTGTTGTGTGTCTTTGGCATTCAATGTTTGCCATATATGTGCACATTGTAATCTGCCCTGAGCCCCCTGCAGGGTGAGAAGGGTGGAATATAAATACTGTAAATAAATAAATAATAATAAATAATTGTATACTAGGGACTGCTATGGCATCAAATGAGAAGGCATGAGGAGGAAGAAACTTGAATCTTGGGAATCTGGTGTGGTTCAAAGGAAGTTCCTGAGCACACTTAGGTGTGAGTGAGCAACAGAAGTCTGCTCTCTTTACAAGTCAAGGCAACAAGAAAGCAGGAGATGGGCTGGCTCTTCTCCTCTTGTGCCCTTTGCACCTAGTTCAGAACAAGCAGATGTGCTGACCCTTTCTCTTACAGCTTCCTCCACCTGGATAGCCTGTTGGAGAAGGCACAGTAGGAGACAGTTCTTATCAACTGTTCTCTGTCTAAGGGCCTTCGCACAGACCTATATCCCAGAATAGCAAGGCAGAGAATTCCCACAATATCTGCTTTGTACTGGGTTAACTGAGTCCACACTCAGATAATGTGTGATATTCTGGAATATAGGGCTGCATGGAAGGGCCCTAAGTGATTCTCTGAAGGCAAGCTCACTCCAGCCAAACCCCTTTGGGGTTAATAGTTGCTGCATTGCTATAGCCTGGAGTAGATAATCTCTGGGATCAGTCCAAAATTTCAGTATATGAAGGGATTTCTTAGCACCTTTGAAACTGAGAGAATAAGGTTGATAGCATAAGAGTTTGCAGACTTGTCTACTTCCCCTTCCAAGCATCTGAAGAAAAAGCCTTACATTTATGAAAACTTATGCTATCAGCTTCTTTCTCTCAGTCTCAAAATTGCTATAAATCCCCTCTGATGTTTGATATTGTAAACTCTAATAAAACTGGTGGTAGGCTGAATAAAATTGCTAACTTTGTGGCTACCTCCACTCCATTGGAACACATTTCCCTGATTGCCAGCGAATCCCTATGGAACTGGCTTCTTCAGTTTACTTTCCATCAGTCTCAATTTACAATGCGAGTTCAGGAATGCGAGCCAATGTAAATTGAAACCTGCCTGAATTGGAGAAAAACTGCTCAGAGCCTGCAGATTTTGTCTATCTTTTCTTACTACCACTGTGCGACACTAGAAACGAAGTGTACTAATAGCATTTGCTCACATCAATCTGTCCAGCCTTGTTGACACACCTTCAAGTATAATCCAAGCTAAGACAAAAAAGACAATTGCTTATCTTCATCATTACTAGAACTGTCACATAATTAAATAAGTCTTCAGTCAACTGATTAGATTATAACCCTAATAGATTATAGTCCTGGAAGTTCTATATAGCTTCTTCTTTTTTTTCTGTGTCAGGAGCAACTTCACTTCTGGTGTGAGAGAATTGGCCATCTGCAAGGACATAGCCCAGGGGACCCCCAGATGTTTTGATGTTTTACCATCTTTGTGGGGGGCTTCTCTCATGTCCCTGATTGGGGAGCTGGAGCTGACAGAGGGAGCTCATCCATGCTCTCCCCCGATTCAAACCTGCAACCTGTCAGTCTTCAGTTCTGCCGGGTTTAACTCACTGTGCCATCGGGGGCTCCTAGTTCTATATAGTAAACAATGGGAAATCAAAATATTTCTGGCCCATGAGATTGTGGCAAAAGGTTTTCTTCTAATGCATTTTACCAGTAGCTAACTGCACATTTTCTCTTACACAGATGATATTTCAAGTTCTGAGGAGGAGGGACCCTCAGATATAAACAGGACTCATTTGTTCTTCCAACCATATCTACATCACGGAGCTAAAGGTCATATGCCTCACCTTTCTTGCCCAGCTGTGTCCCAGAGCTGAAGATGAACCTTAAAGGTTTTCCCAGGAGATCCATTTGACCCCCGGCTGTTGTACATCTGAAAGACAACAAAGGCCGCACAGCTGTTTATTTAGTCAGAGGGAACCATTTGCTCGCTCATGTAATGCAACCTCATTAAGGGCAATAACAGAAAACTGATTAGAGTAATGAGAATACAGATTGACCATTCATCAGAGACGCTGTCATCAGATGCTGAAATGTAGTTATTTCATGCTCAAGAATGTAAGTTGTAGCCAATCAACATCTTAAACAAGCACATTTACATTTCTTGTGACAGCAGGAGTGAGTTAGTAAGTACTACAGCATTAGACAGAATTGGAAAGATCTTGATTTGAACCTCGCTTAAGCTCTCTATGTGTAAACTGGACTTGACTGTGAGGCTTCCTGGATAGCTTTGAACCAGTTACTGTCTTTCAAATGTTCTAATTACAACATGAGGAAATTCCTATGCAAAATAATCCATCATTACCTTGATGTCGATCCAGTTTGAACACATGATGTCCCTTCAGGTTCAAAGTGAAAGCACTTATTTTTGGCACTTGAGGACTTAAAAAACCGATTTCCACTCCACAATTTTAAGGGACAATGTTTTTATGCAACACGTGTCCTTTGACCAAATTGGGGTTGAGGTGGAATGAAGGTGGGGGGGGGGGGCTGGAAGGAAGGATGGGGTGGTGGTGAAAAACCTTGGCATCCTCATACAGCAAGCATAGTGTTGCCTTTTTAACATTTAGAGTATGTGTGTGAATAACCACCACATATTTGAATTTCCAAAGGTCTGAGATTTTCTGCTCACTAAAGTGTGTGTTACATTTTATGAAACTCAATAGCAATTTAATCTCAGATCTAGTAATGATGTCTTGAATCAGATCACATTTCCCAATCCATTTATGTTCAGTTTATGTATGTGGATAACTGCATGGCCATTAAAGGCTTTAGTGCTGGATGGCATCAGTATATCCTCCTTGTCACCGGAATGAACTAGTACTGTGCAGTAATGGGTTTTACATTATGGTAATGTACTCTATGTGATGCTGCTTTTGAAGAAGACTCAGAAGCTGTAGCTACTAAATGCAACATGTCAACAACTGTTGCATTACCATATATGCAACATATAAGGGCTTTTTAAAAAGAATAAAAAACTGGGTTGTTGTAGGTTTTTTCGGGCTATATGGCCATGGCCTAGAGGCATTTTCTCCTGATGTTTCGCCTGCATCTATGGCAGGCATCCTCAGAGGATGTTTGCCATAGATGCAGGCAAAATGTCAGGAGAAAATGCCTCTAGGCCATGGCCATATAGCCCGAAAAAACCTACAACAACCCAGTGATTCTGGCCATGAAAGCCTTCGACAATAAAAAAACTGCATTGGCTGTCAATACTATTCCAGTCTGAATTCCCAGTGGTTTTGATAACATTAAAGCTCTAAATAGCTGGTGAACCCAATATTTAAAAGGGCACCTCTCCCTATGTGTGCCTCCAGAAGAAGTGAAGTCTTTTGGGATGGAAAGTTCTTCTCTGTGGCCCACTAGTGGAACTCATAAACAGTGAGGAGATGTGGGAAAAAGTCAACTGTGTATCCCAATTGTTGAGATGCCCTCCCCATGGATACCTGACAGGCATCAACATTGATTTTGTTTGGTTGCTAAGTAAAAATATTGCTGTTCATCAAAGCTTTTGGGTCTCACTTATTCTTCTAATACTAATGTACATGGTCATAAACTGTCATAATCTTTTTTAAAAAAACATAACTCATTTATTGTGCTTAATATATTTTAGCTTATTTGAATTGGTTTTTTTATTATTTGAATATGTTTAAAAGCCTGTGTTTCATTTTACTAAGTCACCTTGAGATCTTTTTAATATCTGGTGGAGTAGAAATATACCAGTACTTGAAATACAATAAAAACATGAATCTTGTGACTTTTAGATTTTCTAGTTCATTGATGTAACCAAAACCATGCTAGTGAATCACAAGGGATATCTTTGTCATCTTTATCCAATGTGTTTCTGATCATGTCGTACAGGATTTATTTATTCTCTGGACCATATATAAAGGATTTAACCTTTCCTTCCACTCAGATACGAATTTTGCATTCATGAGATGACTTGGACATCTTGGAGAACACAGTATGGAGCATTAGTATATATTCAACTAAGCAACAAGGAACAACTCTGAATGTCATTTGAAATTGGGGTATAGGATAGAAAGAAGTGAGTGCAAGGGAAGTAGCATAGGATGGGGACACAGAAGTTCCTTGGCCATGCTATTGCAAATATATCATGCACCCATGGAAGAGCTAAATTGAGAAAGTAAATATAACAGCATATATAACATCAAGTAAAACAGACTTCAAAAACAAGTAATACTGGTAGGCAATCATTATTGTAGTAACAGAGTTGTAAGGAGTTACAAATCTATATTTACTAAGACTACACAGTGTTACTGTTGTCACCTACCCATAAGAGACAGCAGTTGGAAAGGATAAAGGTGGTTAATTCAGCTTGTGATTGGGGTGCCAGGAGAATGGTGTTTCCACCTCCTCCTCCAAACAATTGCATCCATGACAATCCAAGGCAGGACCATTGTTACAAGTCCTTGTAGTTTCTAATTAATTTATTACTGGTTATGAGTTTCTTATTACTGAATACGAGCAAGGATTCAGCATTTGCTGATGAGATATTTATTATATGGGAGCAAGCCATACTGAACTCATTGAAATTTACTCCAAAGTAGAGATGACATGAATGGCTGGTTTGTGTATTAAGAAAAACGCAATGGAAATCAGGCCACAGAAGACACTAGGAAGCTTGGGAAAAGATCCACAAACACGCTTTAGTCAAAAGAAAAAGAGATGTATGAGAAAGTGCAAAACAATCTAAGTATTGAAAAAATGTATCTTACAACTTCATACAAAAACAGGCTGAACAAAAATGCCAGTGGGGTCCTCTGAAATGTGATGACAGATTTTCTCACCTCTACTGCCAACAACAACTTCTGTCAATGCAAAGTTCTTGAACTATTGTTCTTACAAAATATGACCACAAAATGCCACCTTCACCAGCTAAATGTGTTAGAGTTAACAGTCTAGCGTTAACAGCCCATACCAACTAGATTGTATGTTCCTCTCTAGCAGTTTATGCAGTTATGGTGATTTCACATTTGTTTGCTTCCTCTCTTAATGTATCACTAATAAACAAAATTTTCCCCTCTCTTTTTTCTATTAGACCATACATTTTATTATACACTAGCATGAAATACCTTTTTATATGCTTAACGAAGAAGAATGTTTCTTCTTTGTTAAACAAATAAGACCGTCTCTGTTAGACCCTGTGTTGGTATGGGACTAGTTGTTGTTCAGCTTCTGCTTTGCCATTTGCTTGAGAGAGTCACTACTCTTTGTCTCATATTCCCTAACAAAATAACTAATCTGAACAAATTCTACCAAGAATACCCCATGATAGGTTCATTTTAGGATAACCAAAAATCAGAAATTACTTGAAGGTACTCAAGAAAAATGATGAAAGGCTTCCTGGTAACATTATATATTTGAAATTGTCAGAAATACCTTTCCCCCAATGGATGGTATCCTTGAAGTGACTGGATTGACCTTGAAGGAGCTGGGGGTGGTGACGACCAACAGGGAGCTCTGGCATGGGCTGGTCCATGAAGTCACGAAGAGTCAGAAATGACTGAATGACTGAACAACAACACTTTCCCCCCCTTTAAGTATAGAAAAATATACTCACCACACGTTTTTCCCGGAAGTCAATTCCTACTGTTGTAATGAACTTTGGGTTGAACTTGTTATCTGTATATCTGTACAGGAATGTTGTCTTCCCAACCCCAGAATCCCCAAGGGCCAGGAGCTTGATCAGATAGTCATAGTCCCCATCAGTCATAGTGCTGAACTTGATGGACCTGCAAAATAGGGAAAATAAAAAAAATTGATATGAGAAAGCATGAAGATTCAGAGGTACAAAATGCACTGTAAGCATTCTTCAGGACTGGTTTCACAGAACTACTCTTGCCATTCATTTGCAGACCAATGAGCCAGCTACTGTTCCCACACAGCTTCTTCCTTTCAAAGAATTACAGTATATAGCTGAAAGAGCCACAATGGCCATTTAGTCCAACCCTCTGCCATAAAGGAATGCACAATCAACACACTCTTTAGAGACTGCCAACCAGCCTACCATACTCACGGGCAACATATTCCACTATTGAACAGCTCTTAGGACCTCATCAGATGGGGCAATTTTAATGTACTAGAATGTTTCCGCCCTTTTTTGAGGATGGATCCCCACACCAGCCATCACACAATGTCATGTGGCTTTTGATGGAGGCCCCATCCCCAACAGAGGTGAAAGCATCCTTGCAGGCTTCTCTCCCAACATGGGAGACTGCCCTTGTTGTGCTGGCTCCAACAGGTCCTCTCTGGGAGGGTGACACTTCCCACATGTGATGGGAAAAGCCAGGAGGGAGCTGCGTGCAGGGCAACAGATTCACCCCACTGCCCCCTTTGTCTGGCAGTAAAGCAGATTTTGTGGTGAGGTCCTTACTGTCAGGAAGTTCTTCCTAGTGTTTAGTTGGAATCATGTTTCCTGTAGCTTGAATCCATTGCAGATTTGATTTAAAATGTTCTTCCTAGGATTCCCTAGATCAGTGGTTCTCAACCTGGGGTCCCCAGATGTTTTTGGCCTACAACTCCCAGAAATCCCAGCCAGTTTACCAGCTGTTAGGATTTCTGGGAGTTGAAGGCCAAAAACATCTGGGGACCCCAGGTTGAGAACCACTGCCCTAGATCCTCACATGTGATTCTATGGTCATCTTCGTCCAGGCATCCTGGAAACATAGCCATCTGTCAGGGGTGCTTTGAATGTGATTTTCCTGCTTCTTGGCAGGGGGTTGGACTGGATGGTCCACAAGGTTTCTTGCAACTCTATGATTCTATGATTTCTAGAAAGAATGTCTCTCTAGAAATCTCTTAGTCCTCTAGGTCAATTCTTCCAGTGGAAGTTGACTACACGGTTATTTTGGAAGATGTAGAAGGGGCAAATCTGAAGATGTTATTGCTCAGGTAGACTCATATGGAATGATAAGGTAATTCAGATGTATATATGTATATAGTGCAGAACCAGCATTTAGAATTGTGCCTGAAAATGTACTGATAGACAATGGAGCTGTTGTAACACTTCATGCTCCCTATAACTTGCTCCAGTCAATAGTCTGACAGCAGCTCTTTGGACCAATTGAAATATGAACCGTTTTCATAAGCAACCCCTCTGAGGGCCCATTATCTACATTTAAATGGATTAACATACAATCCCCATTCTTCATCATGCTTCAACGCTTATTTCAAGGTTGAGAAGGACAGATATTAGGAGGACATTGATGTTAATTCCAAAACTTACCAATAAATACATTATTTTTAAAGAATATATTCACTGACATTGTATGAGAACAAGTGTCCACAGGATAGCCTGGCCTTTGAAAGGAGAACTGCATAAAAAAGGTTGAATTCTAGATACAATAGATTTTCTCACAAGGAGACAACCAAGCACTTTGGTTCACTAATCATAGCTTGCATCTGAATTCATCGCTTCCTGTTTCTGAAATGCAGTTATCTGCACATATGTTCTTTGGGAGATAACAGAGCAACTCATCAAATGCAGGAAACCCTACATGTTTCAGAGAAAGAGTCACACAAACTACCCTCTGCTGATGAAAAGGAAACGTTTCCTCAGAAATCGTCCTTTTGAGATCAATACTCTTTTGTGAAAAGCAATAGGGTAGGTGGGAAATGCACAGGGTTAAAACCCTCTAAGATTCCTCTAGCAAGTGGTTTAGGTGAATAAGCAAGCCAGTTGCTTATTCAGTTTCAAGCAGATGTAAAACAACTAGCTAACCTTCTTTTGCAGTGCAAATGTACCACTGCATAGAGACAGCTGTGTTAAAGGTTTCAAGATCAAAATAAAAGGATGTAGCTGCACCTTTGAAACTTACTTAATTATTTTAGCATGAGCTTTCATGGACTTAAGTTTACTTGTCTGAATGCCAGTTACAATACCAAAACCACAGGTTTTCAATTAGAAGTTGTGGTAGTTGGATCAGATTGTAATAGGATATAAAACAAAAAAATTGTGTCAGTGGCCATAATTTTCAAATAATTATACTAATCTTGTAGTTACTTTTCTAATTGCAGAGGCATGGCCTCACTAAATGATGATAGAAGAATGCAACATTGCCTTATGCAACTGCTTATCTTGTGCTGGTGCATACAGGGTTTTTTCCAGGAAATAATGGAAAAGTAACCATTTTGTCTGCTTTTGAGAAACAGGAAGGTAAGAATTGTAACTACCCATATAAGAAATAGCTAATTCCTATCTAATTATGTTAGGACCCCTGAAATTATTACTCTAGCATTACTTTTTAAATGTAATTTCTGATGCATTTCTTAAGAAAAGAAGGAATGAGATCAGAAAATGATCTCTGTAATACTGTATTGCCATTATGTTATCCCTTCTGCATAGGATCCATCTAACAAGGATGCAGAGAAACTAAAATCAGTCTTCTCCTCCCTAGTTTGGACCACCTATCAAAATTACCTAAACAGAAAATATTCATTGCTTAGTATTTGGAATTCATTCCAACAACATGGCAAAAGGATCTGCTGTAAATGATTAGATAGTCATGGAGGGCAGGGCTATCAAAATAATTAATCGTTATCCAAGTTGCTTAACCCATTCTTCAGAGGTAGAAGAGGCTCTTCCGTATTACAGAATAATAGCACTTTGATTCCACTTTAACTACAATGGTAGCATCCTATAGACTCCTGAGATTCATAGCTTGTGAGACACGAGAATTCTCTAGCTAGAATTGTAAAGGGCCTCCACAAACTACCAATTACAGGATTCCATAGGTTGTCGAAGGCTTTCATGGCCGGAATCACTGGGTTGTTGTAGGCTTTTTCGGCCTATATGACCATAGTCTAGAGGCATTCTCTCCTGACGTTTCGCCTGCATCTATGGCAAGCATCCTCAGAGGTAGTGAGGTCTGTTGGAACTAGGAAAAAGGGTTTATATATCTGTGGACTGACCAGGGTGGGACAAAGGACTCTTGTCTGCTGGAGCTAGGTGTGAATGTTTCAACTGACCACCTTGATTAGCATATAATGGCCTGACAGTGCCTGGAGCAAACTTTTGTTGAGAGGTGATTAGATGTCCTTGTTTGTTTACTCTCTGTTGTTGTGCTGTTGTAATTTTAGAGTTTTTTTTAATACTGGTAGCCAGATTTTGTTCATTTTCATGGTTTTCACCTTTCTGTTGAAATTGTCCACACAGACCTCACTACCTCTGAGGATGCTTGCCATAGATGCAGGCAAAATGTCAGGAGAGAATGCCTCTAGACCATGGCCATATAGCCCGAAAAAACCTACAACAACCCATTCCATAGGTTGTTGCCATAACAGTTAAAGTGGAATAATTGTGCTATACCCATGCTGTGTTAAACAGCCCAATATATAAAAATAGCAGGTTCTAGAGACTAGGAGCTGTTGAGGACTGTTGCCTTCATGTTTTGTTTCTGGCATCTTTCACAACACTACAAATGCCAACTCCAAAGGAAAAACAGTCGGCCCCCTGGGTTAGGATCACTAGACCACTCTGAAAGTGATAAACAAAGAATAAAGAATTTGCTATTGCTTTTACCTGAGAGAATGCCTCTCTAAGGACCTCTTCACATGGTGCACCATTTTGCCATTGGTTGCAGGTGAAACAGCAAAGCACCCCGTGTGCCCTCCCTCCTTCCCCTATCATGTGGTGGGGATGGGACAAGGTGTGGTGGCATCCTGTCCCCATCAAATGGGAGAAAGAATGGTAATGCACAGTGCCCTGTTGCCCTTTCCTCCACCATATGGAAAAAAGAGAGGAAAGTGCAGGTAGCACCATTGGAGGAGGAGGAAGCGTTTTGAGGAGCTGCTCTTCTACTTTGGGAGGAATTCAGGCAGGGTCAAGCCATCATTTATTTCATTTATTTATTTCAAACATTTGTACCCCACCCTTCTCAAGCCCCACAGGGGAACTTAGGGCAGCTAGGCTGATGACGCTTGGCTGGCCAAGTAAAAAAATGGAAAAGGGGGCCAAAAAACCCTGTATGAAGAGGTCCAAGAATCTATACATTCTCCAACATGAATGTGTTACTCTTTGCCTTAGAATGTGGTGGAAACTCCTTCCTTGGAAGTTTTTAAACAGAGACTGGATGGCCATCTGTCAGTGGTATTTTGATTGTGCTTTTCCTGCATGGCAAGGGATTGGATTAGATGGCCCAGGTAGTCTCTATCAACTCTATGTTTGTATGATTCTATGACTTTATGTACAATATCCACTGGAAGCTGGTCATAGAATTATTTTAAATGACCTATAGATTCCTAGAGATGTTGACCAGAAAGTCAACATCTAGAGAATGTAGAGATTCCTAGATGAAACATTTTAAATTAAATTAATAAGTAATCAGCTCTGCAATAGTCAAAACTTTATATCTGGAAGGATGATTATACTCCAAGATTTAGACTATATCTCAAAGAAGAAGATACTGTTGTTAAATCTGACTGACTGCTTTGCACCCATGAAGTATGCTCAAAGCCAATCATTCACAACTACAGCTTTTGTACCCAGTTAGTTTTAATCAATTGACTTCCTCCACTAAGCATAAAACTAATTAGAAAGTTTGTAAAGCACCAGAGAAATCCCCCAGGATTGTCATCTCATTTGGTGCCTTGGAGTCCCTGAGTTCCTTTTGGGATTATAATCCAATACGAGATATGTTCTTTACAACTTTATTACTTTTGTACCTGACAGCTCATTCTTCTTGCTGTTCCCTCTACTTGCAAAAAGACAATACAGATTGAATTTAGCCCATAG